TAGTGCTGCAATAAAGAAACATGGAAGCTTCTCATTTTTGTCACTCAGAAATCTTGTCCTGGCCATTGTAATTATATAAATGTAAAGTAAACACTTAAGAATCACTTTTATAGCCAGTTTTCAATAGCAATTTGCCATCTCACCCATGTCTGAGGGAAAGGCCCCAGAGCCTAAGCTGCTCCTGCAATGGTGGGGGGCCAGGGAGCCTGTACTGACACTGCATTCCTGCTTCAGTGCCAGCAGTATTTCTAGCTGGAGAAATGTGGGTCTGGAGTGTGAAGTTTTTTTATTTACATGCAAGATAGAAAATGAGAACTGTGCTATAGTATCCTGTCTAGGGAGCATTGAGTGGGACGAAGAGTGTGCTTTATTGTTGTGAGGAAAGGGCTGATGTAGGTCTGTTGAAAAGCTAATTCTTCAAAGGAAAGTATACCAGATTAAATGAGTAATGAAACTGCTTTCTTTAAAGCAGTTGTGGAGAAATTCCTTGCTGCAGGATCAAGTGTGAAATAACCCAGATACCTGTGCAAAGCTTTTCCAACACTCCTCTGCCTCTGGGATATGTGCTCTAGGTAGGGCAATAAAAACAAGATTGCAATGACAGATACAGAGACTGCACTGAAATGAATATGTAAAAGAGGTTTTTATTCTTTGTATGTAAAAACCTGTTCAAGAAGAACAGAAGTTAGAGCTGAAAACTCCTCAGGAATATGCCTGCTGTGATTCAGATTATGAGAGATGTAAGCTGTGTGCCAGCGCTGGTAAAGCACAGCCTTTATTTGGATTAGCTTGCAGGAATGTACCATAGGAGAATCTAATGAGAATAAAGGTGGTGTATTTTGATCCAGGTTTATAGAAGATACAATGACAATGATGTTCAGTAGTGACACTCGAGATGCTATGAAACATTTGTTAGAGAAAGCATCCTCACCTAAGGCAGTTAAAATTAGTCGGAACAGGATAAAAGAACACCAAATCCCAAATTCCCAAATACTAGTGTTATAGGTCTAGGGATACTATTGGTCCTTCTTGTGCTTTACATGCACAAATTTGTTAATTTCTGCAATGTGATTCTTTCACTAAAAACTTTTTTTTTGTGTGTGTCTGTATTTCTGTGGTGGTGTGAGATGAACTGAATAGACCAAATTTCTGGCAGCCCTGCTCAGACTGAGCAATTTGTCAGGGTTGGTCAGGTTTGTGTTTTTTGTAAGAATTCAAAGCAGCAGCCCCTCTGTGGCTCCTTAGAGATGGAGTCTGCCCTGCAATGCAGCATTCATTCAAAAATTTTAGATTTTGCTTCATCCTTTATAATTTCCCATGGAGATTCTGATGGGAGAGCAGGATAGGGGAAGAAGAAGCTTTGAACATTTTCAAGACATTTGACGTAAATCTTTTAGCAAACTCCATCCCATGCTGGTAGAATTGCATTTATTGTCACTTTTGTGGTTCCTCATTATTGCCACTTTTTGTGGTCCCTCATTTCCCTTCTCAGACTGTGAAGCAGACTGAGAGTTTGCATGCTGAGAACTGTGTTTTTGTTGGTTTCCATGACATGTTACTGTTGTTACTGACTGTTTTTGCATTAATATCAAACTATATTTAAGCAAAAAACTTTTTAAAAATATGAAGGAGGCCTACAAGAGAGCTGGAAAGGGACTTTTACAAGGGTATGTAGTGACAGAATAAGAGCTTAGGTTTAGGTTGGATGTTAGAAAGAAATTCTTCTCCGTGAGGTTGGTGAAGTTGTGGCACAGTTCGCCCAGAGAAGCATCAGCTGTTCCATCCCCAGAAGTATCTAAGACCAGGCTGGATGGGACTCTGAGTAACCTGGTCTAGTGGAAAGGGATTGGAACAAGATGTTTTTGTTTAAGATGCCTTCTGCTCCAAACCATTCTGAGAATCTATGATTCCATGATCTAGCTTTCCCTTTTCTATTGCAGAAGAATCAGGCTTCTATACCATCCACATCCTTTGTATTGCCTTTCAGATGGTTTGAAACTCAAACCTTGCAGTAATCTCCTGTGACTTGTGCTTAGTACAGCTCCTCCATGGGCATTTGCCACGTTTATATGCTTTGACTCACCAACCGCAGTGGCGGGTCGGTCGGAAGTGAGCTGGGGGAGGTCAGTTCCTGTGAACATGGCATTTAACCCATGAAATGAAAGCTGCAACAGGAGCTGTTCTTCCTTCTTTTTAGTTGTCTTACAGATTAAGCAAGTAAGAAAAAATGTGTGAGTCTCTGCTCAAACACAAGTAAGTGATATGCCTCTCTTTTGGTGGGGAATTGCAGTCCATGCCATATTCTTGCTTGCTCTGGAACATGTTTGTTTGATTGCATCTGTTTCTGAAAGCTTATGGTGGTAAATTTGCTATGACTCTTTTTGCTGAATTTGATGTTTTGGAATGCCTGAAAAATGTAAGCTACTTCTTGTCAGTGTCACTGAGCTGGGTTCTATAGCAGGGCTCTACAGCCCTACTACAAACACTGTCTTAAACCCCTGCCGAGGTCTCAACTTGGCCGTGGACAGGAGGAAGAGATGAGCTTTAAGTAGGTTTGAGGAAAACGCTGGAGCTGATAAAGCAGCATAAGAGGAAGAATGTATGTGTGAATTTATAAAATAAGGGTCAAAACACCCCACTTTGCAGTACTATAAGTAGCTCATAAGAGGTTTTAGCCTAGATAAAAGGGGTGCCACACATTTGAAACCAATGAAGGGACCACTAGCTTTTGTTTTCAGTATAAATGTAAGGTGGCTGACAGCAATGAATCCCAAGAGGAAAGAAACAGAATTGGGGTTTAATTCCTTTTGAAATTTCACAAAATTATACCAACAGAATAGTTTTGGTTTGTGTGGTATTTTTCGGGGGCTTGTTTTTTTGGTTTTGTTGGGGTTTTTTTGTGGCAGTGGTTGAAAAAGAATGGGGAATGCTTAGGGTAAGATGTCCAGTAGGGGATCTCCTAGGGATGTGGTGCCTGAGGGCAGGAGAAGCTGTGGCTCTCCTGCTTCAGTGGCTGTGGGGGACTGTGGACGTGTCTAGCATCTACCAGGAATGCAGTGCTTTGCCAGAGCTGAAAATGGTGCTGTGCTTGTGTCATCACACAACAGAGCACAGGTTAGAGGGGTCTTCTCATATTTTTTAGAGCTATGGTAGGTGCAGAGATTTGTCCACTGAGGAACTGGATCACTGAAGCAGTTTTTAAGAACATACAACATTGCTAGATTGCATTCCAGTCACATGCTGGTGAATACCTGCAGAAATATTTGGGTCTCTTTCTTGCATGCTGCCCTTTTAATTTTCCTGAATTCAGACTTTTCCCTTTCTGGCTGTGTTGAGCTGCTGTTCATAACGAAGAAGTCTTAGTCCTTCCCCTTAAAATCTGGCCTGTGCAGCACTGCTACTGTCACAGGGAGCTTTTGGTACCCAGAGCCAAGCCATCAGCATAAATTCTGTCAGTGATGATGTGTTTGCAGTAATCTATTAATCTGCTCTAATAATCTTCTCTGTTTTCACCATATTTTTCTGTTAAATGAAATAATATTTGAATAGAACTTAATACTTATAATTTCCTGGTTTTAGCTGGAAAATAGCTGTTCTCAAATCTGCTGAAAAGAAGATATTTGTGGTAGAAATGCTAATGAAGTTTCAACCAGCAGCAACTGGCAGCCATACATGGGGAATTCAGGGATTGTATATTTGGGTGGCAGAGATCAGTAAGTAGATTTGTGCCATGTGAATCTATTTTTGACAACAAAATCTGCATTCTGCACAGCTCAGACTCCAAGGACTTTATTCAGAAGGTCACATCCTGATTTAATACCATTAATATAAATCCAGGAAAATTTAGTTGATGTGAATGGGAATGCTTTTCATTTCAGGTTTTTGATCTTAATAGGAATCTGGGTGAAAGTAGGTTGCATTTTTGAAGCTAAAGCCATGTTGTTGATGACATCACAGAAAGGCAAAGACTGGTTTTTCACCTTTAGATGAATCCTTTCTATGTGATGTAGGCCACCCTCAACTCAGGTGAGATTCTGGTAAATTCAGCTAGTCCATTTCTAAACAGTAATAGCAAAAGAATGTTTGTCATGTTTTCTTTGCCCCTTTTTAGTGCATTCATGTCAAATTTCTAAATTTGATGTGTTTTTCCTTTCTGACTACTGCCAGAACCCCATATATTTATATGTTCAAAAGCAGCAACTCTAAACCACATTCCTTTTTCAATTCTTTTCTTAACCGTCTCATGACACACTAGAAAAGCTGATGTGAGGGTTTTATGTAGCCTTGCCACAAGTCCAAAAAAACTCCAAATCAAATACTGCAGGGTCCATGATGGTTTGTTTTCTGAGTCTTCACAGAATTGAATCAAGAATGTAAAACAAAAGACCAACAATCATATTAATCACTTTTTTCTCTCTGTTGCCATTGGATTGTATCTTAATGGCATTTTCTACACTGGTGCTTTTGCAGGCATGTTAATCTTTTATATAAGGAAGAGTAATAAATAACTTGAGTGATTAAGTCTGAAGAAATGGCACACGTACCATTCCCACCACGTGGAACATATGTCTGCATCATCCTAACACAGTTGTATTTTATCAAGTAACAGAACATTATATGCGACAACACTTGTATTTCTGTTTGGAGCAATAATTTTGAAATGGTTTTTAACTTTTATATTTGCTCTTTTATTTTGGATATCTGTGGTAAAGAAGTAAATAAATAATTAAAGACAGTATTGTGGAAATTCTGCCTGTCTTATCAGTCAGGCAGTTTAACAGGATTATTAACACTGGTATATTGATTGTAATAACTTGTGAGTGGAGTGAATGGCTCACCCCTCTCCTTTCCCCCTTCCCTTCCTCAGGAACTTGGATGAGTGATATACTTCCAGAAGTAGCACAAATTTTCTTCAGGATCAGTAGAACAAATACTAACTCCCTCCCTCCCTCTCTCCCTTCCTTCCTTCCTTCTGCCACTTCCTTCTCTCCCTCCCTCAGGTTGCCCTTGTTCTCCTTTTCAAATCAAGTGTCACATTGACTCCAGTCCTGTGTTGGAAGCATGTGGAGAACTGCAGCATATCAGCTCAGCGCAATGTCTCCATCAGGCTGGAAGGAAGCCCAAAACCAAAACTGCACTGGCCAAAATGCATCCTCTACAGAAACCCCAAGGTAAGTGGCTTTGTCCTTCTAGAAATGGTACAAATTTCTATTGCAGAGGAAGTATAATATTTTAAAATTATTGTTTCAATTTGAGTCACAGCAAAACAATTACTTTTACATTGTAATGTATAGCTGGTATGGCTTTATTATCTTCATTTTCCAGTGTTAGATAACCACTTAGAAAAGCCTTCAAGAAGAAATTGATTCAGCAATAACCAATTACGTAACTTATAACTTTATATTTCTTGTCCTGTTGGTATACCTCATGCAGCTGTGAAGTGTAAGTTGAATTTAATAAAATTGTTTATATATTTTTGATAAATTTTTAGAAGTATTTTAGGTAATAATATCTTATTGTTAAAACCTGGTCTGTTTGCCATTTATTATAAGATGGCAACAGGAAATGCCGAACAAATGTATTTTGAAAATATGAAGTAGAAGCTAAACCAATCACCTGTGGGTTGTGGTACTTCCACAGAACTGCCAGCTAATAGTCAAATAGGTGGCAAACCCAAAGTACGATGGAAGAGGAGCTAGGAAGCAGCATGTTCCAGCTGGTCTCCAGCTGTTCTTCTGGTCTCCCCAGGCTTCTGAATTCTATAAAAAAGATTGCAGGAAATTTCTTGAAAGAGTAGAATTTGTTTTCATGTTTCTTCATCAGTGAAATGACATGTGGTCTGTCTTTGTAATGCCAGTTTGCCAAGAGTCCTACTCTGGTCACCCCATGCTTTGTAAAATTGATTACACTTATGTATGTAATGGGTGCTTGCCTCAAGGGAATTGGGGATGCAAAAAGCATGGAGCTTGAGAGGTGTTTGGAACAAAGGAAGTTAAGCCTCAAGACGATACTAAGCTCATAAACCAAAATGTTTAGAAGCTATAGGTCCATGTGATAGATGGTCATTGTCATCTGAAAAAGAAGATATTTTTGTGTTGTACACACTAAGCCATTGCACTGCCACCCCATCCCAATTAAAATATCTATACAAAAGCAGTTCAACCTTAAACAATAACAAAGAGAGCATTGTATTTTCTGCTTCTGGAAGTAAACTTTAAACATTAAATTAATATACTACTTCATGCTTGAAACATCTCACAAGGTCTGTGTCTTTATGGAGCTTTCTCCTAGAGGTCTTGGTAGCCCAAATTTAATTAGTGATTGTTCCATGAGTGTTGTTATTACTGGCAACAAAACAGAATAGCGAAAGTGTCTGTCCAATGAGAACTGGAATTAATTCATCTGGTACAAATACTTTGCTGTTGTATTCATGGGCACTGATTTCCAGTCGCTGAGGATGTAAACTGTTTTTTCTATGTGTGTATTTCAGAAAGTTAGAGGGGCCCTAGTTAGCTTGATTTGAAGCCATGAGCTGCTGTGTAAAACCTTCAGGAGAAGGAGGAATGAGGAGATAACTTTCCAGCATGTGGCTTCAGCCTTCAGGCAGCTCCTGAAAGTGCTTTGTAATATTGGTATCTTCCATGAAGCAAACTTCTAGTTTTAATTGGAGCCAAAGAATCACAGTTTGGGTGGAAAGGGAAATTTAGAGCTTATCTTGTTCCATCCTCTGCTATAGACAGGGATGCATTCCATTAGACCAGGTTGTTCCAAGCTGTGTCCAGCCTGGCTTGGACACTTCCAGGGATAGAGAAACCACAGCTTCTCTGGGCAGCCTGTGGTGGGGCCTCACCACCTCATGGGGACAAATTAATTCCTAATATCCCATCTAACCCTGCCGTCAGTTAGGAAGTCATTCTGTCTTGTCCTAGTGCTCCAGGCCCTTGTCCAAAGTCTCTCTCCCGTTTTCTTGGAGTTCCTTTAGGCACTGGAAGGGGCTCTAAGCTCTTCCTGGAGCCTTCTCTTCCCCAGGCTGAACACCCTGCCAGTTCTCTCAGCCCATCTCCAGAGCAGAGGGGCTGTAGCCCTTGCAGCACCTCTGTGGCCTCCTCTGGACTGGTTGCAACCGGTCAACATCATTCTTATTTTGGGGGACCCAGAGCTGCAGGTGGGGTCTTACCAGAATGGAGTAGAAGCAGAGAATCTGCATTACCTGCTGCTCATGCTATAGGTGGGGATGCAGTTCAGGACACAGCAAGGTTCTGGGCTGTCAGTGCATGTGCTCAGTGAAACATCTTGGCAACCACACACCAAAGTGCTTCTCCCCGGGACTAATCTTGATCCATTCTCCACCCAGTCTCCTCCAGATGCACTTGGTCTTAGACCAAGGTGGCTTTGAACATCTGGTGTGGCTGAAATTTTGCTTGCTAAGTAATCCTCAGTAGGGTTAGTGACTTTGCCTCCATGTTAATTTCTGCATTTCTCAACATTACTTCAGTAGGTAAAAATTCAGAATTAACAAAAGTATTTTCCTGCTTCCTTTTGGTCCAGTGCAGTGTTTTGTCTGAGGTGATTTAGATGAATCCACTAACAGGAAAGACATTAAATGTTTACATGCACAGCAGTGAGACCTAGTGTAAATGCTTTGATACTATTGTAAAACCTTTGGGTGTATGGATCAGGGCTAGCTTTGAAGGCCTGATGTGTGGTAGGTTCTGACATGTCTGCCTGCTGTATGTCCTCTGAAAGGAGCGCAGAATTTGTCTTTGGTAGATGGACCAGATGGCTGTGTGGATACTTGGGTTTAGGTTGTTTTTTTTATTTTTACATGGAGAAACATGGCCAGATGCTCACTGGTCACATGGTGTGCACTTGAAAACCTGGGGAACAAAACACAGATCTTCACTATCCCATTTATATGCAAGAAGACTTTCTTTTCCTGTTTCCTGTTATTCCTGTAGAAGATATGGGTTGTAGAGGTCTTCTCAGAATTGGACTTTAACACCTTTATTTTATGATAGGAATTTCAGATGGTTTTGGAGACTGGGCAAATCAGTCCTCTTATAGGAAGTGTCCTCTTAAAGCTCAAATCCTTAAAAAACTTTATTTTATTCTTCTATGCTGAAATAAACTCAGTAATGTAGGAAGTTTAAAATCTGACCTATACTCAGAACTCCACCTTAGCCACACTGTCTGCCTATGCACTACTATGGCAGCTGCACATCCACTGGAGCAGGACAGACATCTGGGCTGATGTGGATGTTAGAACAGATGCAGAGCCTTCTGCAAGGAAGGGACAATTGGAATTTACTTATTGGGTGCATATGCCTCTGTTTATCCTCCTAAAGCAAGTAACCCTGGAATTACATTCAGAACAGTTGTTAACTCAAGCCCCATTACAATGCTGATCACATGTCCCAGATGGATGATCAGAGTTAGAAATGGTTGAAAGAAACTGTTTTCGAAAATGTTTCTTTAATACAACATGTAATTAGAATTTCCTCATTTAAAGTGTCAACTCACTGGACAGCCTGGATTGGAGGGCACACTTGGCAGTCCTGCTCCATGCAGTGTGTGCTTTGGGAACAATCCCACAGCCAGTTTTCCTGCCTTCCAATGTCAGTTCTTCCTATGGGAGTTGTTTTCCCTATATAAAACCATGACAGCATGGGAACCTGTTGCCATGAGTTACTGCCTGTGTATGCTAAATCATTTACTCTACAACCAATGGAAGAACTGAATAATCTTTTTAGAATGACATTACATTTTAACACCATATTTAAAAATACTGTATTAAACTTTGTACCTTGGCCTTCTTGTGAGTCCTGATTACAATACCTCTTTTATTTATACCGTATGCAACGCAACATAGAACCAAAAGAGGAAGGAAATTTGTGAAGACTAGTACACCACAGAAGAGAGGGGGGAGGGACGATGAGAGGAAGAAAAGCCATTATGTTCAGCCTGTGGCATTTTGGACCAAGCAAATGCAAGGCACTGAAATCCATGCTGGCGTTGGGTTTTGAGGGTTTATTTTGGGATGTGGTTCATCCCTCTACCTTTTTTCCCAATATAAGACATTCAATCAGGTGCCAGAATTTTGAGAAGTCGTGGAAGGGGAAGCTCATTAGTGTGATTGAGATGGCAAGCAAACTTGCAAACTGAAGCATCCTGTTTGGTAATGAGGAAGCAGTGCAGTGCTGCAAGCCACTCGGTTTATTAGCACAGCTAAGACAGTTGTAGAAACACAAAATAGAAGCCTGTCACTTTTCTTTAGCAGCTTGCTTTGGTGTAAGCAATACTTCAGGACTGCATCTGTGCTGTTCATAAAAAATGAGAAAAGAATGCATACCTCTTTGTCTGGATTTTGTTCTCAGTTTAGGATAAAGAAGATGGAGATTTATCCTCCTGTTTTTCCTTTCTCTTTCACTAGTACCTCCTAAGCCTGTCCATCTCAAACCTGGGCAGGAAAGAATTCCTCCTGCACCATCTCGGCCTTTGCCAGCTGATCCCAAGTCATCAAGGAACTCGGCACCTGGAGAGGAAGAAATACCAATATCAGCAGGAGTCAACACGCTCATTGAGAAATTTGAAAATATTAGGTAAATATGGCTTTGCCACGTCTGCTCTTCTCTCCATTTTCTGCATTTTTAACTTAAAATATAATAGTAGAAAACATTAACTGTATTTTAGTTTATAACATAGAGTCATGCTTAAGGAGCTTAAGACCTGCTGAATTTGGTAAGATTCTAACAGAGGCAAGTAGCCCACAGTCTGCTTTCGGTAAGTTGGCTCAATGTGGGAATTGCATCATAGGAACTTGATTGTTATGATATTAAATAATTGAGTTTTCTGTCCAAGATAGAATAAACATCAGATCTTGCTTCTTGGAGGCAGGGAAGGGTATAGGGTACTGTGAAACAATGTCATGTAGAACAGCAGTTGTTGTAAAATTTTGTCATGAAAGACACTAAATTGGATAGAATATATATATTTTGCTGTAAAACCAGCTCATTTTACAAACACATGAGAACTTTTCCAAAGAACAAATCTACCTGATGGAGCTAAGTGATGGGTTTTTTCCACAAAGAGGGAGATGGAGACAGGCATCTTACTGTGCCATGGAGTGTTATCACCTGGGTGAACCTGCTGTCTTTCAAAAAGGAAAAGTAATGCCTTCTCATGCTTCAGTACATCCTCTCTGGCAGAAAATACCTTGCCAAAAGGACTTGGTTGTGTTGAAGAATGAGAGTTTCTGTTTAAATGAGCCCAGGACCAATTGCTTCTTTTTAAAGGTGATTTGTTCTTCTCCAAAGCCTCAAACCAGACTTTTCTTCAAGGTGGCATGGAAAGCATAAAGGCCCAGGATTCTGGTGGTGCCATTTCAGTAGAATGTAGGAGTGCTGTTTTTTCATTGGGAGTTGTTGGGTGATCATTATTATTGCAATATGCACACTCTTGCCTTCTGGGATTGTCAGTGGGGTGCAAGAAATACAACTTGAATCAAATGGCAATCACATCCTCTCTTTCAGGGTGCTTGTGAAACCTGAGCATTAATATTACTGTGGTGCTTTCTCTTCACCCACAGGCAACCTGTACATATTCTTCAAAGAAACCAGCTAAATTTGGCTCTTAAAATGGAACCTGGCCTGGACTCATCCAAGCAGACGAGCTTGTGTGACCATGACACAGTGGCTTCCTGTGACTCTTCCACAAATGACAAAACTGAATTGGATGAAGCTGAACCAAACATACCGTGCAGCATGGATCTAATTAACACAGACATAATGAAAATTAAAGAGCTGAGCATAAGTGATAACAAAAGCCATGGAGACTGTACTGCTGTGACTGTGAGCAAAGAGAACCAAGAAGAGCTTGGCAATAAAGACTCAACTGAAGAACTGAATGGGAGTGGTAAAATTCCCAACAGAGACAGTGGCATTGACAGTCCTTCTTGTAGTGTGGCTGGGGAAACATTCCCCAGTGAAGAAGGGGCAGAGCAGAAGAAGCCCAGCATGGCTGGGAACCCAGAAGAGATGGAACCTGAGAGAAGGGGCACCAAACCTTCCTCTGTGGAACAGAAGAGAGACTCCACACAGGATGATGACAGTGACATTGATGAAGGAAGCAGTGAGGAGCAAGAGATAGCAGAAGTGCCAAAGTTAGAGTATTTGGATGTAAACAAGGTAAGGGAGCTTGTTTGTTGCTATTGAGTGCTCAGAAACCAGTTCCTGACACTTGCATCACTTTAATACATTATTTGGATAATTTGTTTGGTTTTTCATCAAAGGATCATGATGGTACTGTTTCCTGCTTTATGCAGGTCCTAACTTGTTCCTGACCTCGACAGGTTTTTACAAAGGTTCCCAGCTTGCTTCAAAAGGTTTAATATAAGGCAATCCACCACAGCCCAGAGGTTAGCTGTTAAAATTCAAATACTTTTGTAGGTCAAGACTCCTACCTTGTGTTTGTTGCTTGGGTTTGTCTAGGTTCAGCTTGTTAGAGCATGTTCTTTTCCATGGAGCTTTGTGTTATTCATAGAGTTAATTGGATAGTGCATCTTGCAGGGTGAGGACCTTGTATCCAAGTAGGATCAGAATCTTGTCTCACAAAATTCAGAGTGTTTTTTTACAGAAACATCTGCTTTTGTTGGTGTGACCACTTCTTGAGTGCAAAGAAGTTGTTTTAATGGTAATTAGGTCAAATTACTCTTCAGGAAACTGTAGCTGGAAAAGAGATTTTTTTCTTTGATTCCAGACTAATGTAGTCCAGGCTGTTGTGTGTTTGCAGCAGCTATGGAAGATTAATGAGAGAGTCCTTTGATTATCAGCTTATCAAGACAGTTATTTTTAGAAATAGTGCTGTTAAAAAGGATTCGATTTTTCCAGAAAAACAGAACAGAATATTGCAAAATATCTGCAAAATATTCCACTTTTTGCACTTCTTGTTTGGTGGCTCATTTTGTTTGTATTTGCAGGTGTTTGGGTTTGTTAGGGCTTTTTCCCCCCCAAGCCATGATGACAGTAAAGTTAATATGTGGAATTTTTGTGTTCTAAAGAATACAACAAGCAGCTGCAGTTAATGATCTGTAGCTACTGAAGTGCAGTGTCCACACCTCAGTTTTTACAAATCAAGTGGTTCTGTTGAAATCACCGAGTATATAATTATTTGTGTTGGTCAAGGGCTTGTCCCTTGGGAAATGTGGATATTAGAATGTATTTCTTAGTTTCCAGGTCAATCATCTGGTATAAATAAAAGAATGGTGAAAATGGCATGGAAGTTCTGTATCTCAGAGCTTGACAACTGTGTTTATACCTACATACACACACTGTGAAATACTTGAATTGTTTTCTATTCATAATGTGCATGTATGTGCATGTGCCACTGAAATATTATTTAAAAGATATATTATTAGTTGCAACAGGCCAGCAAGAAAGTCTAGAACTGTAGAATGTCCTGAGCTGGTAGGAACCCATAACAATCATCAAAGACCAACTCCTGGAAAATAATATATTACATTAAAAAATCTTTAATCTGGTAATTAAATTTACAGTTTGGACTAGGAATGCTGTATCAAACCAACTGTGACAACCCCAAGCTGAACACTTTACCATATGATTAAGTGCTTTGTTGACAAATACCGTTGTTTCATACAATATCAATGATTTGATGGCTGTTTTTGAGTCTTGTTCCTTAGGTTATGTGTCCATATTATAGGAAATAAGGATGACAAAACACAAAGTTATGAGGCTGTAATCCTCTGGAGCTTATTTGGTGAATTTATGAGAGATATCTTCAGAAGAAAACTCATTTGTTTTGGTTTTTTTGTATTACCCTTCCTCCTGAGGTGCATTTATGTGATGCACTGCAGGTTTTCCCATGCAGTTTGAGTTGATTTCCCCTTCCAAAAGGCAGTTTTGAGGCTCACCAAGCTATACGAAGTCACCTGGTTTTTGCAGTCACATAGAGGAGGAAGGCTGAGAGAGCAGCTGCCTCTTCTTCAGTGTAAAGGTTGTGCCCTCTTCTAGGGACACATTGAGTGAAGCCATTTTCTGTGTCAAGTGTCCACATAAAATCACAGAATCATTATGGTTGGAAAAGACTTCCAAGATCATTGAGTCTGACCACTACTCTAACACTGACAGGTCCACCACTGCACTCTGTATAGTGTCTCTACAAACCACATTTACCTGTTTTTTGAACACTTAATGGGTGGTGACTCCACCACTTCCGTGGGCAACCTCTTCCAATGCCTGACCCTTCAGTGAAGAAACTTTTTCCTAATATCCAATTTAAACCTTTCCTGGCATAACTTGAGGTCATTTCCTGCTCCCCTCTTTGATTCTGTTGCAGATTTGGGACACTATGGACTCGGGGTTAGAGTGAAGTGTCATAGCTTCCAGCAAGGAGAGCTAAGGTAGATTCAAAGTTATGTTCCATGGTTATTCTTAGGCTGGAATTTCACATTACCCTTGACAAAACTGATAATTTTCCTGCTTGAAAAGAGAATTCAGTTGGCATCAGCTGCTGGCTTGGGAGCTGGGGAGCCCTCATCTCCTTCAAAAAGCCTTAAGTTGGGAAAGCATTTTTCCTGCATTCCCCTCCTACCCCTAGTACCAGGCTTTGCAGCTGCACCATTAGGGTAGCCAGTGGTCTCATTAAATATGAAGGCTGTTATAGTTGGAGGAAGAGCATAAGTACAGCTGCAGAGAGATTTAATGATGGCTCAGTAACTCCTAGGATATCAGTGTAAGTGAAGATCATGAATAACTATTCTTTTCTACTTCAGTTATCTCTCTGTCTTCCACCCAGGCCTGCACACAGCTCATGGCTGGGAAAGGTAACCTTGCCTGATATGTGAGTGGTATTGTTTTATTTAGTCTAGGCTTAGCTATACAGTGATTCTTTAGGAGTCTGCAGCAGTCTAACAGGGCTCACTATTAGCACAAAATATGTTTTAAAATCTCAGGAGTGACTTACTGGGATTTCCAGTTATCTTTTATCAAAATAAAAATGAACCAAGGGGAGGTTATTAATTTTGATAATGTCTCAAAGTGTCAGGAGCTGCAGGACGTGATGCACATTAACCTGGATGGTTACAAAAATGTTTGCAAAGAAAAGGAGTGACATGAAAGTGAGACTGAGGGACTGTCGTGCTCCAAAGTCCCAAGACTTCTGCTGACTGCCTGAGAGCCTAAGTAATGCTTCTGGGAGGGGTATCAGTGCTTCATAGGGGGGTTTTTGCATTTTTTCGGTAAGAGTAACAGCTCTGTTGTAATCACCAAAGAATGCTTTTCTCCCTCTGTCCTGCTTCCTGCTGTGTAAATAGTAACAATGAAGCCCCACTTGGGTCTCATGCATTCATGGACACATGCTTCCATTCTGCCTGTACGTGGCTGGAGTTTCACATCTGATTTCATTGTCCAGTGTGTGTTGTAAAATTTGGCCTGCAATCCTGCTACTGTGACCTTTGGGTGAGGTTGTCTCCATGTATATTCTGAAAAAAAAAAAGTCTGTATGTCAATGTTTTAGTTATAATGTTGGTTAAGAAAATTCAGATATGTAATCATCATCATATTTGATTTAAATATCTTAAGGAAAATGTGATTTCAGTGCAACAAAGACAACCAAGCATAGGATAACTTTTCTGTATTGTTTTCAGCATTGTTGAGTAGGAAGTGGTCTATAATCTTCTGGGACTTTTTGTGGTCTTTGCAGGGCTGACTGGTGGGGTCTTGAAGCATAACCATGTATGATTTTAATCTAAGCTCTATCCCAGCAGCTCTCTTGCAAGATTTGCTGAAAGCCCTATGTGAGACAGATGCTGACTGAATGTAGTTGTGCACACCCATTGTATGAAAAATGGTTGCTGCAAGATTTGAGGTGCAAATGCATTCCAAGTGTGAATCTGACCTTCATGAGAAACTGTTTCTGTTTGATTTCAGGCTGTTGTTTCTTTTTATTTAAAATGTTTTATGGGCAGTTGCAACTGAAAATGAATTTTTGAATCTTTCACAAAGAAGTGAAAGTGCATCATGGCGCTTTGAGCACTGGAGTGAACTTTCTGTGTTGTGAAGTCAACACCTCCCTCTTCTGTTTTCTCATCTTTCTTGTCACCCCACTGGTCACACATGTTCCATGCAGCCTTTGCAGTAGGTGTAAGGTTCTGGCGAATGACTGCGCAGGAGATGCTGTGGCTGTGGCAAGCAGTCACCCAGCAAAAGCACTGCACAGAGCAGAGCATAATCTCAGTTTGCAGGTTTGTTTTACTTTTCCTTTAGAAACATGTACCATGAAATATCTTGCTTCTAGTGAACTGAATGATGGCTCAGGCTTTGTTAAAGCTATCCCACCATGGCACAAAATGAAGTTAGAAGAATGGGACTGCCTCACATTTAATTAATCTACAATTTCATTTAAAATGTTATGCCCATTGAAAGGCAAATATGTTGCAAATTTGTCTGAAAAATGTGCCTAGCAGAGAGAGGAACTGAAGATAGAGTCACTCTAAAACTGAGCTCAAGCTGAGTCTGTTCAGCCCTTGTTTGGTATTTAAGCAGATGTCAGCAAGTTTTCTTGAAATATAAACTGAATTGCAGATGGTGATGGTCAGGAGGTTAAAGAGTGCCTGTGATATGTAAAGATTTACTTCTGAGTACAAATGTATTTGTTTGGAAATAAGTATTTTTCCAATTCTGAATTCAAACAACTCAAAGGATGCTCTTGGTGGCTGGTATGCCAGCTGGTTATATCAGTGCCTTTCATTTGAGCACTCTTTTGTGTCCAGCAACACCAGCAGATAAATTCTTTCTCAGTGAGAGATTCTTGTCGTTACTGGGCTTGACTGGCCAGCAGTGCACTTCAGTGTAAACTGTAATGACATGTATTTGCTTGGAACAATTTCAAAACTTATTGTGCTGTGGTTTGTTTTTTTTTTTACCCCTTCACTTCCCCTAAATCTTAATACAGAGTGAACAGAGCAGGATGTTGTGTAGTATGTTGAAAGAGTTTAAAGAGTATTTGAATTGACTTGGAATAATTTGAGAGGCAAGAGAGAGAGCATCCATGTCAAAACTTCACTCATGGCATGTTTGCCTATCTTCAGATTTGTGCCTGGAAATAGAGGGATCGCTTCAAAGGAAGTCTGATGTTGCTCCAAATAAAGAAAAGCTATTCATTTTCCTTCAATAATACTTGCATCATGGAGCTATGGGTACTTCATGCCAAGTGGCACCTTATTCCATGTAGGATAATTTCGGGTCTGATTTGTTGGAGTTTATGGCTTTCTTTGAAAAGAAAGCCTTTGAGCATTTCAGTTGAAAGTTGAAAAGCCTTTGAGGTTTTCAGTTGTAGTACAGTTTGTCTGAATGTGTGTGGAGGGCTGGTGTTTAAATTTTTCTCATCAACTTTACCTTGTTTTGTTTCCAATAAAAGTTGAAGAAGCTTAAAGAGAACTTTTATTTGATATTTTCCAACAATCTGATGGTGGGTCACAAGGTTATATCTACAAGTCCTTGCCCCAAATGCAAGCACCAGAGACAGGCATTTGAGATGGAGCACTGCTACTGGTGACAGGCCCAGGTGCTTCCTGAACTGGAAATTGCCCCATGTGTTTAATAGACTTAATATATAGACTATATATAGACTTAATAGACTATATATATAATATAGACTATATATAGACTTAATAATGTATATATCTGGATCTTTTGTGAACCTGTGTGAAGGTTACTGCCGGCAATGTTGTGTTTCTTGAGGAAGCAGCCCCTGAAGCAGCACTGTGGTGATTTTATTTGATGCTCTTCACTTTTCCCATATAAATAATGATTAATTGCACCCAGTCAATGTTCTTCCTTCCAGAAATCATTAACGCATCTGTTACCTTCACTGCATTTGTCTTTTTTTTCTGGATCCAGCCCAGTATAGTTTCCCTACATTTGATCATCCTTGATGCCCATTTTCTATGCTTGTATTCCTGAACACAAGCCAGCCAATGCTCTGTTCTGGGCTGGTTTCATTATATGTAGGCATTTAAAGTGTTTAAAGTCTAACACTTCAAAAGATTGTTGGAAAGCTCGAGCCTGTATTCTAGTAATTCAGGTATTTTTAAGCACTTAGTGAGTGAAGGGTCTATGTAGCTTTTGGCTGAACAGTGCCTAAAGTCAGTGCTTTAGAACTGCATTTAGAGTTTAAGTAGTCCTTTCTCAATTTTTTTTAAATGAAAGGCTTCACTGAATAATTTGGGTTACCTTGATGAAAATTCTTTCCAGGGAAATTGTCTGTGTTTAAACCTGCACAGAAGTCTTACAAATATGCCATAGAGAGTAATGCTGTGCTGGCAAGGGTAGAAATCTAGCCAAACAGCCTGGTTTCTACTTTACATTTTAGTTACAGAACCTGAGTCCAAAAAGGAGAACTGTTGATTTACAGTCTATTGCCTTATTTTTCAAATTAACTAGACTTATTTCCAGGTTTAGAGGATGTTTCTGGGTTTTTTTATAAAGCCATAATGAACTCAAATGATGTCCTGACCAGCCACTGATTGCATTGCTAACTGCTCTTTCAGAAAACAGCATCAAAATGTCTCTGGAGCAAAGTGATCTTTTGAGAGATGTGGAGCAGATTCTGAAATGTGTTAACCTCTTTCACTCCAGTCTCCTCTGCTGGTAGGATTTTGGCCACTGACAAAATGAAAAACGGAACAGTTAGTGGAACTTAGACGTGGAGATGCAGATGGATTGTGTAATTTGTAACTTTTTTCAGTGTACAGAGCCCCAAAAGCTATTCAACATCGCCAATGAGCTGCTCCACACGGAAGAAGCATATGTTAAAAGACTCCATCTCTTGGACCAGGTAATTCCATTTTGAATTAACTCTCTTTTCAGTGAGTAGCAATGATGTCTCCTGTCCATTGCCTAAGTTATAGCTCAATACAAGCACTGTGTGTAGGTGGAAGATGGAGTTTGCTTGTCAGGCTGTATGCCATGGGTCGAAGATTTGAGCTTTGGGCAAGACGGTTCCTTGAAAGGAACCAGAGGATTGGGATGGCAGAAAGGGAAGTGGGAAAGCAGCAGTCCAGGACACAGACACTGCCAGCATTTGGTTCCTCCCTGGGTGCATGGGGGGAGGAAATAACAGGAATAATGAAGGCACTAAGAAATTACGAAATCTGTGATTGCTCTTTGATGTGCAAGAAGTTGAAGTTTTACTAAAATCAGGCCACATATGTTAGCCCTGTGCCTACAGCAAACTACTTTTTTACCACTCTGTTTTGTAATTATTGCCCATCATGTTTACCCATGGGGATGAAGTGAAACTATTGTGATGAGTCTGAACTTTCTTCCCCATAGACTTTGAATTGACACTACACAATTCAGGCATTTATATAATTTTCTCAAAGAAAAAAATGCATGAATGTGCAGGAAAGAAATAAAAATGAGGATGAGACACATTTCTAACCAAGTGCTTTTTAAAAATTACTAGAAGAAGAAAAAACAGAAAACTGTCACCTGGCAAGAAATGTCATTAGAAGCTGTAACTTGGGGAATGCTTTATCCTACAACCCTTGGAGCTGTATGGAAGACTTACAGTGCTTGTATTAGATTAGCAGAAACTGTTTCTAGACCATAGAAATCTGTCTTTCCCTTTTGTTCAGTATAGTGTAATTTTTCCTCCTGAGAAAAACCCAATCACATTATTTATTTTGCTTTGTGTAAATAACTGTAAATGCTTTTCAGGGACTGGACGATCTTTGCAGCTTGCACTCAAATATGAGATGTCTGATCTTCTCAGTCATTTCAGTCTTTTTTGAATTACAACTCAGATTTTCCTACTTTTTTCAAGAGCCTATAGTGATATATCTAACCGTGGGTGACAGTGGGCTTAAATTTTGTGAACCTCCTTAAGACTCCAAGAACTGGCTACCAGGGGTGAAAATCTGCAGCTCTGTTCTAAGCAGTCAGCTTTGGAAAATTGCAGTCTAAAATCTGCATGTCTAGGACTGTTTATCATTATAAAATGTTGGTACTGTCTTGTTGCCTTCTGCAGGTTTTTTGCACTAAATTGTCCGAAGCAGGGATCTCATCTGAAGTGATAACGGGCATCTTCTCAAATATTTCTTCCATCTATTGTTTCCATGGACAGTTTCTTCTTCCTGAGCTCAAAACAAGAATTACACAAGAATGGTAGGTAGCTATTATTACAATTATTTTAAAAATACATTTTCAAGAAACTGTAGCAAACATAAGGCCTAGTCTAATTCAATTTTTTAAATTGTTTAATGCAGTAGTTACATTAGTTATTTACTAACTCTTAAACATTTCTGACGTCTCTCAAACATTTCTGACTTGGAGAGGCCTGAGCCTTGAGAAGGCCTGAGCACTCAAAACTTTCAGAATATATTGTGAGCATTTTTTTAATTGGAAGTGTTACCAGAGCTGTTTTCCTTACTGCATTCCCACTCTCCCATTATTGCAGTACTATGAAATTACAGTACTAGGAAGGAATGAAATTTCTTCTTTTGGCCCCATAGCTGAAATAAATATTTTCAAATACCAATTAAAATTTGGCTACTGTAAGGAGTTGAAGGTAGGACTTGTTGGTTTTAGAGGTCTTTTCCAACCCTAGTGATTCTGTAAGCTGTAGATAAGGCAGAAACACAGTGATAGGTAGAAACGTTAATTGTAAGTCAGATCTAGGAAACCCAGTTTGAGGGGACACATTGGCTGCCTGGTGTCCTGCAGTGGCAGGTGCAGATAGTGCTGACCTTTCCAGATACCCTGACTGATCAAGACAAGACCAGGGCTTGCCTCTCTTGGCTGAGTCCAGTCTTCACATGTTCATCAGTGACCAGGAGTAAATGAGTCTCAGCAACTCTGAGATTTATTGCACTTGCAAGGACAGCTGTAACAAAGCGGAGGAAAACTGCAGTGTCTGGAGGTCAGAAGAGGATAGAAGCTTGTCAACTGGCTAAAGAGAGTCTTGCGGGCAGACTGGGGGAGAGTGGCTGCCTCTCTGCCTGGCCATGACTTTGGCAGAGAGATGTGTGGCTACTGCTGCTCCACCCTGGGGTTACTAGCCCCTAGGGATTACCCCACTGAACTGAACCATCTCTTTGCATTAAAACCAATTCAGATATTTGGCTGTGGTGGAAGAGATTATTTTTAATACGTAAAAGTTTTCCACAAGATTTTGTGTTGGGCAGAAGTTCCTTTAATGATGTGTAGTCAGTCTGCTCTTCACTTAAGACAGTGAGGGCAGAAATGTCATCCCTTGTACAACACGATTCATGTTTGAACTTTCATCTAGGATATTGCATAGATTACCTTCAACTAAACTTAGCCTGTCTTGATTGCACATATGTGTAAGTGCTTGTGCATGTGGGAGACAACTGTGGAAATCTTACAGCTGTGTTTTCTCTCTGAAGATACCATTGATTTACAGACATTTCAGTACTTACCTGTATTTTTACCATAGGAGTGTCAACCCACGGCTAGGAGATATCCTGCAGAAACTTGCTCCTTTTCTGAAAATGTATGGAGAATATGTAAAGAACTTTGACAGGGCAATGGACATAGTGAACACATGTATGCAGCGGTCCTCTCCCTTCAAAGATGTTGTTCAGAACATACAGGTATGTTTTTAATTGGCATAATAGGACTTGGAGATTGTAATGGTTTAGGAATGATACTCCCCAGTTTAGAGACTCCAAAACCACGCTACTACTCTTTTGCTTTCCCCCTCTGCCCTTTTTCCCTCCCCCTGGAGCATCTGAAGAGGAGAGCTGGAGGCACAAAAGGCAAAAATCATGGGTTGAGGTAAGGAAAATTTACTGGAAACGCCAATGAGATAAGAAAACAAACAGTAAGTGCAACACTATTAATAATAAAAATAAAGGTGTACTAAAAAGAGAGTGCAGAACTCAATCCAGCTGCAGCTATGTCACCCAAACCACTCCCTCCAGTCAGGACCAGCATCACCCAATCTGCTCCATGTGCCACGCTTGCTCCACCATAAGGAACCTTCTCCTCTGAAACAAGACCCTCTCTTCCAGCCTGGCTATGACCTGAGGTGTTATCCAATAACACTGGGGCCCTGGCTACACCCCTCCTGGCTACTGGAAAAAATTAACTCTCTGCTGGCTAGAAGCAGGAGTGAGAGGTCCTCACTTAAATCAGTGTATTTATTTGTTTCCCAGTTCATGACACATGTTGTCAAGATAATAAGACATACTAAAATTACACAATTTTAGTGGTATCCTTTCTTCTCTTTTTCTGGTACACAGATTTCACACACAGCTTTTATTCCGCTCACACTCAATTTTTTTTTTTTTTTTTTTTTTTTTTTTTTTTTGTTGTTGTTGTTGTTTTTTTGGGTTTTTTGTTTGTTTTGTTTTGTTTTTTAATACGGCTTTAAACTTACAGAGGGCAGGATTAGATGGGATATTGGAAAGTAGTTCTTCCCTGTGAGGGTGGTGAGGCCCTGGCACAGGCTGCCCAGAGAAGCTGTGGCTGCTCCTGGATCCCTGGAAGTGTTCAAGACCAGACTGGATTGGGCTTGGAGCAACTTGGGACAGTGGACAGGGGTTGGGGCTAGATGGTCTTTAAGGTCCCTTCCAACCCAAAGCATTCCATGATTCTGTGATTTAAGAGGAGTATCAGATCACAGAATGAAACTTCGCCCTTGGCCCAGTAATTCTGACTCTTTTGGATTTGTCTTCCTCATTTCTAACTTTAATTCTTTTTTAAAATAAATACAGTTTTATTCTGAGGTGGGTGTGCTTAAGTTTGGATATGTCACTGACAGCATCTGCTGTTTGTCTGGTTTTCCTGAGGTTTCCAAAGTTGCAAGCAGCTCTCGGGATCACAGCTCCACAGGAGGATGCTTAACACGGATTTCTGTGTTTTCTCATAATTGCACAAAAAGCTGCTCAGGAAGAGGAGAAGAGCTCCAGTTATGATGAAGTATCCATAAAACTGCTCTATCCTGCTCATCCCCTGGGCCAGCTGAAGGGATGCAGGCTCCAGGATGCTCATAAGCATCCTTGTGCCAGTCCTGGGAAGGCAAATACCATCCTTTGGGAGGGGAGGGCTGGCAAGGAGAAGGTTAAGCTGAACAGGGAGCACAGCTGCCTGCCTTAAATGGGAGGACGGTGGCTGGGCCAGCTGTCTGGAATCAAGTAATCCCCTAGCAAGCTGGGAGGGGAGAGGCCCTGTGTGGAGGTTTAGGGCTGTGTCAGAGACTCAGACAGAAGTTTGGAGAAGCAAGGACTGGGGAGGTCCTTTCCTGCCACGCTGCTGCTCCACAGGGCCTTTTCTTACCCTTTTTCTGCCTGTAGCCATCCTGCTCACACTAAGGGCACACACACCAGCACTGTATCTTGCTGTCCTCAGCCTGTGGCAAGCTATGACTTTCTGCAGGGTAATCCGTTTGTGACTGTTTCCCCTACAGCACAGCCTTCTTTAAAATTCACCTGTCTCCTCCCACCGACGAGCTTCCAAAATAAATGATGTATGTCACCTGTTGGTCTGCACCAATTTCAGACCATGGGCAGCTCTGCTGTTGCTTGAGCAGAACTCTTGCCAGGCAGTGTGGACACTGGCAATGCAGGCAGAAGATGCACCTTGGAAGCCTGCTGATGACAGAATTGCACTGTAGGTTATTTAGTCACACCTACACAGCACCTTTTGCTCTGTTGCTCAGTAATCATAGCTGCAGGAGGCAGAGATTGGACCCAGAATGCTTAGTCCACTCATGTGACATAGCTGCACTATCAAAAGCCACTGATAATTTTCAACATACCAGTTGAAGTGTGTTGTGATCCTTCAGGGATGCACTATCTACCTAAGCTGCTAATGGAATAGTGTATATATAATACACAGCATAAGGCATTCACTGTTACTAATTATGTTAAATTAGGGAAAGCAGAAAACAAAAATCAAATGTTACTAATAAGTTGATGACTGTGGCTTATCAAATTTAGTCCTTTGCATTTCTGGAAGGATAGCTAATATTTTTCTCTCAGACATTCATCTCATTATCTCCAGTCTTGCTGTGAGAATGCAGCAAGTCAGCAGTGTGGTGTGGGCTGGAATATTTATGAGGAAATTGCAGATACTTGAAAGAAGTTCCTTTCTCTGAGAAATGCACAGTGAAATTAACATGGTTGTAGAGAGGCTGTTTACACGAGAACAGACCACATTAGTGGGCTGATGTAAAAATAATGCTGTGTAGAAGAGCTTATGTGGTTAACATGCTGCTATGGAGTCAGATTACATCGCTAGCAGAAACTTCCTCTGTGCTTTAAAGCAAGTTACTGGTTCTTACTAAGATTCTCATCTCTTCTCTTTTAAACGGAAATATTCTTTTGCTTCACAGGATCCTATGAAAACAAGTACACTGCAATACTCAGTGCCATTGTAAGCAGAGCACATTGGTGCCTTATTGGATTATGTTTAGTATAACCAGACTCAAAGCTCTTTTCCTTCTTGTCCAAGTGAAAAAGAAGCAGAATTTGAGAGAGCTCTGCCTTTCAATGCTGATGTGTGAGCAGTGTGTCTACTGCTCATACAGTGAGCTCTGGCAAGCAATATGTTCCTGGGGGCATTCTGATTTCGTGAAGTTGGGAGAACAATGCTGCATGGGGCCATGGATGGGAAGAGCTTTTTTGAGCCTTCTGAAAGAATACAGTTGCATATTGGCAGAAAATGCCAGACATGGGATGAAGATTCACATAAAACCTGCCAGCTCTGATATGTGCTGTCAGGCTCTTCAGCTCTGGAGAGGCTGGATCCGAGGCCAGTGATCTGAGCTTGAACAAGGCCAAGTGCCAGGTCCTGTCCTTGAGTCACAACAGCCCCTGCAGCTCCAGGCTGAGCCAGAGGGCTGGAAAGGGCCAGCAGGAAAGGCCATGGGGGTGCTGGTGGTGGTGGCTGAACAGGAGCCCAGGTGGGTAAGAAGGACCAGGGCATCTTGGGCTGTTCAGCACTGGTGTGGCAGCAGGGCCGGGGCAGTGCCCATCCCCTGTGCTGGGTACTGCTGGGGCCCCACCTCAAATCCTGGGGTCACTTTTAAGCCCCTCACAACAAGAAAGAGCTTGAGAGGCTGGAGGGTGTCCAGAGAAGGGAACGGAGCTGAGAAAGGGCTCAGCCTGGAGAAAAGGAGGGACCTTCTCGCTCTGCACAACTCCCTGACAGGAAGGGGCAGATGGTGGGTAGGTTGGGCTCTGCTTCCAGGGAACAAGAGACAGGACAAGAGAAAATTACCTCAAGTGTGCCAGGGGAAGGTTTAGATTGAATATTAGGGAGAATTTCTTGATGGAGAAAGTTGTCTAGCCCTGGCTCAGGCTGCCCAGGGCAATGATGGAATCACTGTCCCTGGAGGGATTTAAAAGACATGCAGATATGGCACTTGATTTAGTTGGCCTTGGCAGTGTTATGTTTATGTTTGGACTCTATCATCTTTTCCAACCTAATGAGTCTGTTGACCCATGATGGCTTGAGAAGCTCCTGTATACTCCTCTAGCTGTATGTGAATGGTCATTTTTCATTGCTGTTATACATCAAAGGCAGGAAAAAATTAAACCCTCCTGTTCTTGTTTTCTCTTCATTACAGAAACAGGAGGTGTGTGGAAACCTGACTTTGCAGCATCATATGCTTGAACCAGTGCAAAGGATTCCTCGTTATGAGCTTCTCCTGAAGGACTATTTAAAGAAACTTCCAGAAGAATCTCCAGACAGGAAAGATGCTGAAAGTACGTGTAAATGCCTCTCTGTCTAAAACCACAATGAAATCTCGGGCAGTTTTTCTTCACATGTTCAGATACTTAGAACCAGGACTATGGTAGAAATGGACATTGGAATTAATCAAATTATTGCCAAACAAAGGTATTTTGAATACTTTTGGAGTTGAGAGGAAAAGGGTTGAAATGCCTGCTCTAGGAATGAATGCAGCTTTGGCAAATAAACAGTGACAATATGTTGAAGTTTGCTGTAGTAGAACATCTAACTTTTTTTGTTTAATCCATTGTGTGGCTAAGGACAAAGACAGGAAGACATCCTTGCAGTAGCCAGAGGAAGAAAGGAAGAATGGTTTTAAATTTGTATTGTTTTTAAATGTGTATTTCTTGCCAAGAAAGCCAGAAAGACTCTGTGAAACAGGAGAAATGGACTTCTTTTGATTACAAGGAGTTTTTGATCTCAACCAAAACAGTGTCCTTATCACCATAAGCAGGCAAGCCCTGTTTTAGGAAAACAATCTTAAAAATATGCTTGGGAAGACATAAGTGAGACTTGACTTTTAATAGGTGATTCCTAGAAAGTGAGGGTTCTTTGTCACTGTGTGCTTTGGCTCATCAAGATTTTTAGGAGAGAAAGATGAAACGATCAGTTGAACAGGCAAAACTGATTGTCTGTAATTGCTTATGTATCATCAGTTTTGAAGGAGAAACTACTCAGGTGAACCTGTTCCCTAAGGTGCTATTAAAAGATATAATCTAGAGAATGCATAACTGTTGGTACCTTTATTGCAGAGTCACTGGAGCTGATATCGACAGCAGCAAACCATTCCAATGCAGCCATCCGGAAGATGGTGAGTAGCAATTCCAGAACGGAATTGTGATCTGACTGAAACATGTGGCTGAACTGAGGGTCTCCCATTGCAACAGGTTCAGAATGGTAAATGGAGAGGAATATCTGCCTATCGTTCAGGCTTTAAACGTGTTGGATGTCTGAGTTCTTTTTATTGTAAATGCAGTTTTCTGTGGCTTGTTGGGCTTAAATTCCACCTCCCTCATTCTGAAGAGCCCAATTAGCTGAAAAAGGAAGTCTTCATAAAACTTGTTATTTGCTTTTCCTTGAAAAGTGTTGAAAGTATTCTAATTAGGCCCATTCATGTGTCCTTGCAGATTTTCACACTGTTTTTCTAGTCCTACAGTTCTTAAACAGAACTAAGGTAGTTTTGGCCCATCTTATGTGCACAGAATGTGCATTTTGCATGCATCAGTAGCTTCAGAAAGCTGTGCTTCAAAAGCTGGGCAATCAGACTGTGAGGATTTTGGACATTAGCACATGTTTTAACTATAGAAGAGCTAGTGCATTACCATTAAAGTAAATGGGCTTCACAGCTGCAGATGTTATCCCTTTGGTGCACCCAGGTGTCTCAGGACATTTTGTATCAAACAGACCTGAAATGCTGTGTATCTGGCTTAGCACCCATTGGAACGTTTGGGGGTCCAAGGTTTATATTCACTTCCCTATCAGGCCATTACTTCCTCCCCCCACTGGTGGGGACACCATGAGACCACATTTCCTGTGGCTGCTATAGGGAAGTAGCCAGCTGATGTCTGTGTATTGCCAGTATGTCTGAAAACATAGTTAGGAAACCATCTGTTTCTATTTGCGTCTGGCATGTTCTCTTGATAAGGATATATTTTGGTGGAAATTTTTCTGGTTTCGGGCCTCTTAACAATTCCTGGGGGCTTTGTACAGTGTCTCTGCAGATATCAGAAATATGAAACAACTTGTTGCCTCATTGGTTTCTGTGTTGATTGCTTTTTCTGTTAGTACACAAGGACCCATTGGAAAAGGCTGCTATAATAATTTTGCTGCATGAGGTCCAAGCCAGACTGAAAGAAAAGTGAATGCTGTAGCAAAATCCCCAAAAGTTAGTGGAGGGTTGAATTAATTGTTGGCTGCTAACTCCTATTGTGGTGCAGTAGAAGAAATAAATCATGCTTCCATTATTTGGTAACATACAGGTCTCCAACTTGACCATTGATTTTATTGGACATTGTTTCTAAAGTTCCAAAGATTAATATTTGGACTTGATGATCTTAGAGATTTATTTCAAACTTAATGATTTTATGATACATATTTATTGTTGAATAGCAATAGTCTAAAAGTATCAAATAAATTTATCTCAAAGTGTCATTAAATGGTACAATTCAAGTATAATGAATCCAGTATGACTAATTCAGAGTGGGGAAAAGCACTGAAAGCACTATGCAAAGCAATAGTGGAAGACTGTTTTCTTTCAACTTACATACATTTACCACAGAAATTAAACAGTGGGCAATAGACCACATGGAATAATTTTTTTTTTAAATTTAAACTGCTGGGGGTTTGTACTGGCAGGAAAAGATGCACAAGCTTTTGGAAGTCTATGAGCGCCTGGGTGGTGAAGAGGATATTGTTAACCCAGCCAACGAGCTCATTAAAGAAGGACACATTCAGAAACTTTCAGCAAAGAATGGCACAGCACAGGATAGGTATTTATTCCTGGTGAGTGTTTCAGTTGCTCTTTTATTTTCAGGGCTGTGCTCAGGTTGGATGGGCCTAAGAGCATACTGGTTTAGTGGAAGGGGTCCCTTCTCATGGTAGGGGGTGGAATGAGGTAGGCTTTAAGGTCCTTTCCAACCCAAACCATACTTTGAATCTATGATCCTCTGGTATGTTTCCATGTTCCTAAGCTTAAAGACAAAAAGCATTCACCAACTGAGCCCAGCTACTCGTTATGAGCAGCAGTTTTCTCTTGTAACTTTTTCCTCAAGGATTTCCTTTTTTCTTCCATGCTGTGCCTTTGCTGGCCCAAAGAGGTCTTTTCCATCTCCCTCCTCAGAGGCTGAGTTTTTGCAGAGTGCCACAGCAAGTGGTTTCCAGCCAAACCACCTTGCTGCTCTTGTCCTTTCAAGACAGTCCAATTCAGAGGGAGGGGCAGAAGGGAGAAGTGACTCTCTGAGGTGTTTCTGTCTGCCCACTTCTTTTGGTAACGGTCCATCAGCCTCACTTTCACCTTAAATCTCTTCATGAAAGCTATGTCTTAGAGTAAAACACACCAGAGCCCTACATTTTCACAGTGCAGGCTGTGTCCAGCATGTAACTGCCTAAGCTAACCTCTTGCCTCATTGCAGTTTAACAGCATGGTGCTGTACTGTGTGCCAAAACTGAGGCTGATCGGCCAGAAGTTCAGTGTCCGAGAGAAGATGGATATTGCAGGACTGCAGGTTTGCATCTCTTCTTTTCCCTTTTTTTAATATTCTTGATAGTTTTGGATCCCTGCTGAATCTATATACATAACAATCTATATACGTAACATACATTATATGAATGTAAAAACATAATAGAATTCTAAAACCCGGCTTAGCCAGGTGAGGGTTGGCCTCTTCTCACAGGTGACAGGATGAGAGGAAGCTGCCTCAGGTTGCACCAAGGGAGGCTTAGGTTGGATATTAGGGAATATTTCTTCAGTGAAATAGTTGTCCAGCCTTGGCACAGGCTGCCCAGGGAGGTGTGAAGTCACCATCTCTGGAAGTCTGCAAAAAACCATGAGAACATGGTTTTGTGGTGAATGTGATGGTGCTGTTTTGATGGTTGGACTTGAGAATCTTAAAGGTCTTTTCCAACTTTAGTGATTCTATGAGTCTTTCTCTTTTCGCGTTCTTTTGGTTTGATGTTATGAACCGGTTTAATACAGAAGACCAAAGGAAACTAATCCTTTGTGAATAAAATGGATTGAACCCAGAAAGGTTCGAAATATACCCCAAAACTTGATTAAAATCAAATTAAGTTAGATGTTGGTGCTAAAAAAGTGGTACATTTTATTTAATAGTAAAAGAGGCAAAGAAAACGAAAGAGAAAATAAGTACAGAAATAGAAAAAGAGGTTTCTGTGGGTGGGGAGAAAGGGAGAGGGTAACACGGGTTAGGTGGAAGTATATCACCCTTCCCAGGATCCCAACAACATTTCATTGCTCCCTTCCATCTGCTCTTCTTGGTGATGATAGTCCCCCTGCCGCCTGTCGCTGGAAAGTATGGAGTCCAGTGGATTAATAAAGTGGTTTGGGCCAGGTGGGAACACCCACATGCCTTCCCTGAGTAGGGCACATTTGACACTGTCCTTTGCAACACTGTGGATCTGTTGCATCATCTCTGGTGCAGGGTCTGTGGACCCCTTTGAGGGGGGGTCTTTGATGGGTCATGACTCTGCTGTCCTTCATGTGGATGCAGCTTTTGCCAGGGTGAAGGGGCCCATAGCTGAGCTCCTCTGCACAGCAGAGGATGGGTGTTCACTGCTCGAATCAGAGGCTTTTTCATGACACACCCAAAACCTCTCCTCCCCCTACCCTGTGGTGTGAGGGTCTGTTTGAGCCTAGCAGCTGACAACCCCGGGGCTGCGACCTCTACCCTGAAGGTCCTAAGCTTGATCCCTCTGAATGGTTTCTTCTCCCCTGACTCGCTTTATCTTATCTTCATCAATGAACAGTGTAGGGCTCCATTCAGGGTTTTGGTGGTTTTCTCTGCAGCTTTTGTACAGTTTTGCTACAACAAGCAAAAGTCTTTCATGAAGATGTTTAAGACATAAATTATAACATTTCAGTCTCTGACACTTGGGCTTTTAAAATTTTTATAAGAATCATTCAAAGGGGAGCACAATAATGGTGACTCTGTGACATGTTTGGATTAAGAGCCTTTCCTTGTCCCCTGGCTGGCACACCTCCTACTGTCGTAGGAGTCTGGTGATACAGACACACAAGTTTTGTAGCAAGACAGGTAACTATGGAAACAATCCCTTATTTTTATTATTTCTATACTTTATTCCAAATGATCCTTTCAACTAAGCATTTCAAAGAATTACTGTACTTGTAAGTCATTAAAAATGTTAGAAAGACAAGTTCAATGAGTAAAAAAGCTGATGTGGTTTTTACAGGTCCAAGAAATTGCCAAGCAAAATGTGGCTCATACATTTTCCATAACAGGAAAAAAGAGATCATTGGAACTACAAGCCAGGTATGATATTTGTTGTGTCTTTGAAGGTTTGTGAATATGTGTGGAGAAATTGATCTACGGGCTGTGCTAGTATGACAGAGTTTTAAATCATAAGGTGAGCAGCAGAGGTGGGAAACTTAGATATGTAAGAGAATGTTGGTCTTAAGTGTGTTGATTGCCTTTATTGAATGCTTACAGTGTTTATAGTAGTGCTTGTAAGGTCCACTGTGTCAACAATTCAAGTATTTTTGGCATTTTGTAATAATTACTGTCAGTAATTATCAATAATGTTTTTTAAAATAGTGGATAGCAAAGCTAAAAATCTAAAGGCTATAAAGCTGTGAAGCTGTGAATTGAATTTACTGAAAATATTTTAAGTAGAATGATGATGTTTTCTCTGTTTTTCTTTTGTTTTAACAGGACAGAAGAGGAGAAGAGGGAATGGATTCATGTTAGTACAAAGCACCAATGATAAGGAGGGCAGTCACCATGAAGGCAGCATTTGAAAGCATTGTTTTGGGGTTCTGAATTAAGTGGCTGTGCAAGGAAGCTGGGTGGGCTAGTGTGGTGGAGTTGCTCATGGAGAAGTGTGGAGGTCAGTCAGGGTCCCAGTGCTGACCAGCTGGCCCCAGAAAGTAGCTGGGTGTTCCAGCTGGGCTCGCCTTTCCTGCATTCCTCAAGCCCAGTGAGGCATCAGACCTCATATATTCTTCCAATTTGACTTGTAAAGATACTGCCTGGTGGCAGTCTTAGTTTTTCACTGAAGCAATTATGGCTTTAACGCCACCACTTAAGGTTTTTTAAGTTTCCCTTTCATTTATACAAGTCAGGGTTTTTCACCAATCTTCCTATGAGAGAATTTTTTTTTTTTTGTGATGCTTCTCATCTTTGCTGACATCTTTGTCTCAGGTCATTCAAGCCACAATAGAAAAGCACAAACAGAACAGTGAGACCTTCAGAGCTTTCAATAGCTCTTTTTCACAAGAGGAGGAGCATCCTCCCGATTCCTCAGTAAGTACCAGTGCTTTGTTCTCCTTTGCCAGAACAGTTTTACCAACAGTTAAGATTTGCACAGCTAACTTTAAAATAGTGGAGTCTTGTTCTGGACTTTTTTATGACATTACAGGGCAGTAATCTCCATTTTTCTGGCTCTCAAATGTGTATCAGTCACAGTTTCTCAGCCATGCAGATACAGAATTAATTACCCAGGACAATTCAATTGCCAGAGACCCACCAGGCATATTTTTCAGGCTGGTGGCTTTTTTTAACAGAACAGGTATAATCCCTCAATGTTATGAGTGCTTAGTTGTCTGGAATGTTTTTTGTGTCCCTGGGGGGCTTTGTTCATTACTTTTCCCCATCTCATCAGAGATGCATTTTGGGATTATTTCTTTGATGTTATTTTATTATTATTTAAAATATTTTAAAGACTGAGAAGGAAAATTATGCATTTAAAAAGGATCTTAAAATAGTGTCTTATAGATACTATATATTTCAGAAAAATACTCTTCTACTAAATATGTAACATAGTCTTGAAAGTTTATTGTTTCTCTACAGCCATAAGGTATCACTCTGTGTTTGCTAGGAATTTTGTTTTAGAAGTATTGACATCAGGACTGTATCTCTCCATTCAACTTGAAAATGATGCTGATAACCTTAGCCACAGGCATTTGCTACAAACTAAAGAGGAATGGGGCCTGAGAGAGCAAAATATTTAGGAATATCATACAGTGCTGCCTATGACTTTTATGACTTCAGACATGGTAGCTCTTGGAGCAGAGGAAGAGAAGGTCCATCTGCAGAGATTGAATTTTGGGAGCTTTTTATCTTCCCCATCCCCTGCCTCCTAAATTATTTGTTTGTTTGTTTGGGTTTTTTTGTTTGTTTCTTTTTTTGGTTTTTTTGTTTGCTTGTTTTGTTTTGGTGCCTAACCATTTTTGACATCTCTTGGAGATTCAGGACTGATTTGGTGTCTCAGATAAAAAAATCTAGATTTTTTTTTTATCTGCCCGATTTCCCAGAGGCATCAGGAGAGATGTTGGGTATGCCTTTCATCCCCACATAATCAGATTGACAGTGAAGATCTTCTCAACACTCTAGAGTCTAGAATCCTGCTACTAATAGCTGCCAGCAATGAGCCATTTTCAGAATCTGGCATTGTTTACTTATCCTGAACTATTCATCAGCTAAAAATACTTGGGGAAAAAAGTAGAAAATAGTCAATTCATGCCTATATTTTTCAGTTAAATTATGGCTGCATTCAGAGCCAGGATGCTTTGATGGAAAAAAATATTTTGCTAATAAGCAAACTAATAAGCACACTTCTTTCTATGTAATGAAGACACAGCATCTGGTCAAGTTCATTATTATTATTATTATTATCTTGCTTTGTAAATTCAATTTGATTTTGCTTCTGTGTTCATGGTGTAGCCTCATACTTGAAACAAACAGCCTCTTTGTAAAAGCCAAGCAGAGCAGGAGTCTGGTTTATCCCTGGCTGTATATTAATGCAGTCTGTACTGAAATTTCTTTAATGCCAGAATACTAACCTGCATTTTTAGGAGATTATCTTCTCTAGATAATCAGCTTTGAAACTGATGTCACAGCTAAATGTGACAGAAATTGCTGTCAGTTAAAACAGCCTGAAAGTATTTCTGTAATGAAAACTGGACAAATACTGAGAACATTCTAACTGCAATACACCACACTAGGTAGCATCCACCAGACATATCACTTATGGAATACTGGGCAGCAACTTTAGAGGAAAAAGCAACCCTTTTTTTTCCTCTCATGAGTGGAGAAATGGATATGCATTCATGGATTCCTGTCTGGATCTGTAACAGCTACTGGAAATTAGCCTGTACAAAAAGAGTCAAATTGTTTTTTTCCCATCCTTGGCCATACATTTTCTCTCTTACAGTGCTTAGGACTGGTTGCAGTTCACGACCAGTGCATGCCATTCTGACCATGCTTGTGTTTCCCTGCTAACTCACATAAGCTCATACCAGCATTTTGGGTTGGTGTCAGCCTACAGAAGACTTGTGGTTTCTGGGAGGTGGAGAGATCTGAAATTTGACCTGCTCTTAAGATTATACCTGTGCAGGTCTTCAGCAATTAATGAACTCTCACCTCTCAGGAGGGGAATATCCAGCGTCATTGCAAATCAATGCCAGGCCAGGTGATGGTAGCAGTAGTAATTTTAAAAAGGGTTTTTACTAAGCTTTCAGGTTCCTTTGTGGTTTAGTTCCTCCATTTTCACATGCAGCATTTCCAGGCTATGTGAAAGGTTTTTAAAACCATCTAAAAATGTTACCAAGGAAAAGGACCTCTTTCACCTCTGCTTCATCTCAGAAGAGTTGGAGGCTCCTGGTGTGGTGATGGACACAGTTTGTGCAGTCTTGGAAGGCTGGCAAGGAAAAGTGCTGCAGAAAGCTGAGCTCTGTGGAAGTGGCATTCCTAGGCTCTGAGACTGAGAATGCTTCTGTTAGATAAACCACGAATGTTAGATGCCCCTGTTTCTTTCCCCATAGATGTGGGCTGGTTCTGACAAATGTCAATAACTGTATTGTTACCAGCTCTGAGACACTGTGAGTGGTAATGGTGATGTAACAGGGAGAAGTCCTTTTGAAATATTTTCCAGGTAGGAGCAGAGGGTATTTGATTTTTAGCCCATTATTCCAAATAAACAAACAGACATGGGGATCTGAATAGGCAACTGGAGGAATTTACTCTTTTCCCTAAATTTGCTGGGGTTTTTCTCAAGCTCTTCTTCAAACCCTGTTTTTCCTCCACATTTTTCTTTTTCCAAGTCCTATCACAGCACATAGATGTCCTTTTACTAGGCAGAGTAAAACCCTGGGTTGATTAGGATTCCAGGGAAAAGAACCCCCTTTGCAGAGGACTGAGGAACAGATGATGTGAACTCCTCAGGGTTGCTGGGTTTTTGCAGAGGCAGAAATAGCTGGTTAGAGCTGAGTAGTGTGATGCTTCCCTTAATTCAGTTGTATTCCCTGAAGAAGTGCTCTAGGGTGACACAGCCTAGGTCCCCGGGGGATGCATTTGCTCCTTTCCTTGTTCAAAAGAGTTGATTGATTGTCTTAAAATATAAATAGATCTGATGAGACATCAGAATTAATAGCTCTTCAATTTGGCCACTCAAACAGAGATCAAACCTACTTGCTTTAAAATGAAACCAAGCTGGTGTGCCAAAATGCACTGGCTATTTGGATAATCTTGAAATAAGAGATGTCTGATTGACAAAGGAAGAATGATTTATGGGAATAACAGGAGAATTTATCATAAAGAATCTGATCATTTGAACACCTCGTGTAAACTAGCAAACTCCCTGTAAATTAATTTGCAGATATGGTGGTTTTCCATTCTTTTTAGAATGTTGCCTGTGATTTTGGTACTCAATGTACAAAGCTTATTTGCCCTTTATATGTATTGAATACTATTGAATGTGTATATATATCTATATATTTGGCATACATATAGATATATGAATATTATATATGTGAACCCTATAGGAATACATATCTATGTGTATTTAGTACATATACATCTCCATAACTGTATAAATGGAGATGCCACTTCGCATTTATTTAGGGATTGAAATGTATTATGAAGAAGAGAAACTTAACTCTGAGTGGTGTTTTAACAGAGTAAATTTTGTTCCTCTCAGAATCAAGTGCCTTCACACAGCTTTTGCTGGTCTAGCTGGCAGGCTCCAGTAGAGAAGTGTCCTTCAAACTTTGGCAGTGGCTTTCTGCAGCATGTGAGGGACAGGCACAGGTTACACCTAAAGAAAGGTTGGCAATTCAGTGCCATCTGTAAAGCCCACCCCGTATTTGAGGGTGGCTGAGCACATGTGCAACATGTACACCTGGGGTAGTGGAAGGTGTCCCTGCTCATGGCAGGAGGCTGGAACAAGATGAGCTTTAAGGTCTCTTTCAACTCAGACCATTCTATGATTCTGCGATCTGATTTTATGAATTAAAGTGTGCTCACAAGCAAAGAACTGAGCGTCTGAAAGCAAACTCTTTTCCTTTCTCTTCGCCCCGCCACCCCCACCTTGTTTTTCTTTTTTTTTTTCTTTTTAAATTTCTTTTTGGTTTTTTGGGTTGTTTGTTTGTTTTCTTTTCAGTGTTTAATATAATTGAGGAAGAATGTCCATGTTGAAACTGTTCTGTGTTATTCTCTTTCTCCTCAGATAGCCAGCACCAGCTCAGTCGAATCAATGCCAGGAGCAGATGGAGGTGGTGCATTAGGAGGGGTGAGTAATTTGAAGCTAATACTTTAGTCAGAGCAGTGTTGGGAGGTGAGTTATGTTTCTTTTATAGCAGGAAAAAATAATCATACTTCAATATAGGTTTTATAGGGTTTATATCCTGCTGTCTGTGGCCTCAGCTGTGCTGTCATTAGTTTCCTGGCTAAGTTATACCCACAGATAGTTGCTGTTTGCAGCATCGGGGAATTTGAATCCTGCTCAGATGTGTCACAAAAACCAGGAAATAAACTCTCCAACCATTTTGCTGGGTTAGAAAGTCAATGTTACTTTATTAACAGTGCTGGATGTGAGGGGGTTTCTCCTCAAAGCATGAATAGATTTCTTAAAGCAATATAACTCCTTCGGTAGGGGATATATGCTGCATGCGCAACAGAGTTGGTTTCTTCAGTTTGTAGCACTGGGTTTGGAAAGGGGGAGATTTGTCTGGGCTTTTTTTGTTCGTTTGTTGTCTTGTGGGGATTTTTGGTGTTGTTTTTTTTTTTGTTTGGTTTTGTGTGCATGTATTTAAATTGTGATAGGGAGCTATGCTGATTGCAAGGAGAAGGGCAAAAGATATCAGGAAACCTATCTGATTAATGCTGTTTGCATTGTGTAACTCAGGATGTCATCTCTAGAGCCACATTGTGTGTAACACTTCTTCCACAGTATCCTTTCCATGTTTCTGCTAGTGCAGAGGAAGAGATGCTAGTACTTTCGTGTGTCTCCAGCCTGTAAAACATTGGCTGCCACAAAAGCAAAATATACTTTTAAAGGCATTATTAATTTTGCTCAGTAAAATGGCTGTGACTGCTGCTGAATCAAACTGAGGGTTTGAGCCCTTAATAAGGTCTATTTTTTATTATTCTTATCTCTCTCTTCTAGATTGAAAGATTTTCAGGAAATGCCTAGGGTCAGTTGAATTTACTGAAAATTAGCCTCAACAAGAACAAACAGCCACAAAAATACCTTTACCTGTAGAGATGTGCTGTAGGATGTTATGTATTAGCATGACGATTTTAGGAACAAATGAGTCATTTAGCAGCACCTCTAGACCTCTGGCCAAGCTTGGAACCTTCTGGTAAAGTGCACAGTGTCAATGCAAAGCCAGCAACCTGACCTATTAAAAAACCAAGTTATAAGTGTTTGTGATTAGTGTGCTCCTTGCTTATTATTTTCTATCTTCACTTAATATCTTCACCTAACAATTTTTAATTTATTTACAGTCAGTTTTGTGATTAGTGTTTTCTGCCTTGAGTTACGGATGCTGTATTTAGTGCGCTACTTTAAAAAAAAAGTTTTATAGTATTAAAAAAAACCCAAGCCTACATAAAAATTTTAGTTGGTCTTAATTATATAATTTTATTTGTAATTAAATAAAAAATTGTAACTTTTTAGTTGATTATAAATTGTTGTGTCAGTGTTTTGCATATGATAGCATATCTTGATATTTTAAGTAATTGTCCTTAAATCACGTATTTAAAGGAAAATTTAATTCCTGACATATAAAAAAATGGAGTTGATCAAAAACACAAAGTTAAAAATACCCCAAATTGTGTAGTATTGATTCTGGGCTCTAATTTTGCAAAAATGAATAATATCAAGAGAATAATGAATAAAAATGTTAGTTGTAGCTTCAGAAAATATGAATTTTTAGTGTTGACATCCCTTTAGTACAGCTCAGTGAGAGCACAAGTAATACATTGTGTGCTCAACAGCATCACATGCAAACCACTTGGTGGTAGCGGTGGCCATCACACTGAGAGCTCCTTCCTGTGCTTCCCCAGCCTGCCTGAGAGGCTTGTGGGATTTTCTTCAGCATTCACGTTCACGTTTGCATAACCAGACAATGAAGTCCTACTGCAGGAAGGATCATCTGCTTGTCTATAGCATCATGGTGCCTCTTTGCTGAATTGTCTTGCTGCTCTGCACTGCTACTGCAGGTTATGCTCAGACTTCTATATGCAGGAGGAAATATGAGCCTGTGGAAAATGTCTTACACGTAGTCTTGCCATTATATTGTTGGCTGTAGAGAAACAAACTAAAATATTACAAAGTACAAAATCTGCTATATCATTTTAAATTATTTTTCACTTATAGTAAGCATTTCCAGAAACACTTGCTGGTTGCAACCCCATTGTGGGTTGCTCCAGGTAATTAATTTATAAATGGAAAATACACCTGTAAGAGCATAATAAGAAGGAAAATAATTGAAACTGCTTTGTAGCTCATGTTACAGTCAGACTGTATTTATGAGTTATGTGAACAACCTGCTGGCCCAGACAGAATGAAATACCTGGCACAGAGAAGCTGTGGCTGCCCCTGGATCCCTGGAAGTGTCCAAGGCCAGGTTGGACATTGGGGCTTGGAGCAACCTGGGCTAGTGGAAGGTGTCCCTGCCCATGGCAGGATGGGACTGGATGGGCTTTTAGGTCACTTCCACCCCAAACTATTCTGGGACTGCATGATTCTCCAACTGTATAGCAAGTAATCAATAATGGTAACAGCAGTATCCTAAGCCCACTGCTTTTCTTGCTGTTCCTACCAGCTTTTTGGTGATTCTCCCCTGCATTTCAGAAGCAAATGGAGGCTGCATAGTTCACTAAGTTCAGATGTCTGCTCACCTAAGAAGGCCTCCCACAGGCCTTCATCTTGCAGTCGCATGAGTTGTACCTCTTGCTGGGATATTGCTATTTTCCCACCGAAATTTTAAAATTCAAGGAAACTGTCAAGATTTAGAGAGTTAAATGCAGTAGAGTAAAAGCAAATTAGCAGTCAAAACAGCCTAGTCTGAAAGAAGTAGATCCTGGCTCTGAACAGATTTTATGTGAGTGTTTTTTCCTGTCAGACTCAGCAGCTTCAAAACAGAGTTGGGTGTATTGAGAAAGATGAGAAATGTGGCAATTATTCAAGCTCATTATTATCAAGATGCTGAAGTGAGGGCAGCTCTCTGTTAGTGCCTCTTTTAAAGGGCATCAGCAATAAATAAAGTAGCTTGTGTAATAAAGGACACAGTTGCAAAGTGACTGTTAAATTTATCTCAATGAACAATGTGAGTTACAATGCATATCCTTGCTTGCTACAAAAGCCTCTTTGTTCAGAGGATGTGTTATGAGTACGTGGTAAGGTCACCTCAGCCATCACTGGGTAGGATGAGGGCACCACCAGTGCAGGAAGGTCTCTTCTTTTTCACAGGAACGGAAAGGAATTTTTTTTTTAATTCTTTTTCAGTGTCAGCAGTTAAATAACTTTTTGTTGAAAAGGTCTTTCTTCTACAATAGCTCTCTGTAATTTGCCAAGTAATAAAGACTTTTTAATTTTTATTATCTTTTCTGCAGGTACAATAGCCATGTTTCAAACTCTTCTGTTTTCACTGTATTCTGACAATGTTGAGAAATACTATGAAATATTGCTGGCTTTCATCAAACACTTAAAGACATCTTTATACAGCAGATTTTTGTGGTCTGCACGAGATCTGTATGTTAATCATAGAATCATGGAATGGTTTGGGATGAAAGGGACCCTAAAGATCACCTCATTCCAACCCCTACCGTGAGCAGAGACACTTTCCACTGGACTGGGTTGCTCAGAGCTGAATCCAACCTGGCTTTAAACACCTCCAGGCATGGGAAGTCGAGTTTATGCTGGATCCAGTAATGCTATTCAGTTTATCAGGACATTGTGCAATAGGGTTTGCTGAGTGACTTCAGATATCAGCTTGGATTTAGAGGCTAACCTTGCCTGGCCACCTAGACAGCAGGTCCCAGATAGTGCAGGTCCCTGGCATAGGTGTCCCTGCCTTCCTGAGGAGCCTTATGCTTCATCTTTGGCTGGGAGGGAGACTAAGAAAACTCCTCAATTAACTATTTGAAGTTGGGTGGTGCAAAGTCCACTCCTAACACCGTTCATTTCTTCAGTCAAGCCATTTTCCCCCAAATCTTCACATCTCCTTCCTACCAAGGGAGGGAAGTTTACAGCGCACTCACAAAGTCAACATGTATCTTGAAAAAGGAAGAGGTGAGTGCTGAAAGGGAAGTTTTCTTGAGACGCCCACCTTGGCCATTCCTCCACCTCTGCACTGACAGACAGGGAGCGGAGATTGCTCTGTGGTGGTATGAGTGGGCAGAGAGGGACTGAGACCACATTATATTCCCCCGAGACCCCTTATGGTTGAGCTAGCCCTCTAGCTGAGGCAAGCAGCGGAGCCATGCAAATTCTTTCCTAAAATGGTAAGAACCCCAAAGAGGGTCTTTGTCAGTAGAACTCTATGAACAATGTTGCCATTATTTTTATTATTTTTTAATCACATACATGTACTTTTAATTTCAGAGTGATTCCTCTAGGAAATCTTCCAAATCCAAGCGAGACAAAGAGAAACAGTCTTGTAAGAGCTGCAGCGAGAGCTTCAACTCCATCACAAAGAGGCGGCACCATTGTAAGCAGTGTGGGGCAGTAAGTATCCCAGCACGCTAATCTTGAATTTCTTCTGCAGAGACCATTGAAGACAATTTTTTATTTTATCAGTGTAGGGACTAAAAGACATTCTGGTTCATGGCAAGTCATTGACAGAATAGGTTTTTCCCCTTGCTTTATTCTCTGGATATCAGGGGAAAACAGCAAAACTGGCACGAGGGTCCTAGTTTGTGCTGGTTTAAAGGCAAATCAGTGTCTCAGTGGATAGAAAGAAAGGTGGTGCTTTTCCTGGGGGTGGGCGTGTATCAGGGGAGGGGGTTGTAGTTTGTTTGCAGAAACAATGGCCTTAAGACAGCCTCACTTCACCCAGACAGTAGCTCTTCTAAAATGAACACCTGAACATGCAACATTAAAGATGATATTAAGCTATTAGACAGCATCCAAAGGAGGGCAATGAAGATGGTGAAGTGGAGCCATGTGAAGAGCAGCTGAGGGCATTTCTTCTCTAGCCTGGAGAATAAAAGGCTGAGGGGAGAGTCACTGGGGTCAACAACTTTCTCTGAGGGGAGGAGGAGGGGCAGACTCTGATCTCTTTCTGTGATCTCTTTCTAGAACCCAAGGAAAGACCTGAAGTTGTGTCAGGGGAGGTTTAGGTGGATGTTAGAAAGACGTTCTTCCCCCAGAGAGTGGTCAGGCACTGCAACAGTCTCCCCAGGGAAGCAGTCACAGCACCAAATCTGCCAGAGCTCCAGGAGAGTTTGGACTACACTCTCAGGCACAGGGTGTGACTCTTAGGGATGCCCTCTGTGGGGCCAGGAGCTGGACTTCATGATCCTCGTGGCTTCCTTCCCACTCAGCATATTTTGTGATTCTGCATTTCTTTCCCTAAAGAAATGTTGTGCAAAAGTGTTTTCCTCCTGCTTGAAAAACCAAAGAAAATCCATCCCAGAGGCTGGGTTACTGAAGCCCCTTAGCCACTTCCTCTAGCGCCATTTATCATTGGTTGAATTCTCTTTTTTTTTCTTTAAATCACAACCATGACAAAGATGAGATGGATTTCTGCAAAATTATTTGAAACCTCATTCAGTGTTCCTAATGCAACTAAGAGTAATGTTATTTAAATAACGTTAGTCATTTGAAGTAGAGATAAATTTTCAGCTGCTGAGAGATCTAAATGTAGAGTTAAGGTGTTTAAAGAAACCTCAGTCTCAGCAACTGAAATCAAATTGTGGAGGAGGCATTTCTACCCTAGTGTTGGGATTTTCAATCTTCTGGGTTTGCTTTTATTAAATAATGAAATATATTTCTGGGGTTTTAAAACATCCCATTGCAAAGTCAGTGTTACTAAAGAAATTAAATAATGGCTTTCCCCCAGGAACAAAGAGATAACAAGAATTACAAAATGAATAATTTATCGTTAAACCATCATTTGTTTTGCAATGCCTTGTGGTGTGGCAATAGCATTCGAATTAAAGTTAATTTGTCTGAAGGAAAGTCTTGGTTTCTACCAATATTACTGAACAGGACTGCCTTGGCTTGTCTGGTTCCCGCTGCTGAACCAAATAGCAGCAGCTGTGGTCTTTTCTCCCCGAGATGCTATTTAGCTACCTGTGGTCACAGCTGGGCATGTGGGGACAAGTCCAGGCATGTCCCAAGCTCCAGTGCTTACAGCTGGTGCTTGTAGGTAAAAGAGGGTCACTCCTCAGGCCTCCCTGTGCTGGAGAAACCTCTTAGGGTGATGGTGAAGAAGGAGTTGGACCTGATACAGGGTTTAATCCAGAGTTTTTATTCTGGGCCACATGGCCTCTGAATGCAGTAACAGCTCAAGACCCCCGCCACATGGTGTACTCGCCCGTTTAACTGAGGGGGGAGAAGGGGAGGGGACACAGGGACCACCAACCAGGTATGGGGGGAGGGGGCCTCAGGTGAGAGGGACACCTGGGTGGGCCAATGGGTGGAGAGCATCCTTTGAACCTGCCAATCACTCAATGCGCCCCTGGAATTTCTGGGTTGATAGACAGCGCCCAGCAGGGGACAAGGGTGGGGGAAAGGAGAGGTGATTGACAGCCCACCTGGGGAAGGAAACTTCAGGGGAGGGACTGGGGAAACTGAGGCACACCATGACAACACACCACAACAGGAAAGACTATCATGTTGTCTTTTTTAATTGCAGAATTAAAATATTCTGCAATACTAACAACAAAAGCAAAAATGCTTTTGTTTGGGTAATGTTATAAATAAAAAAATGCGAATTAGCCAATTTTAATAAAAATATGAAAAACAAAATTTATTCCGCGACCATAAAATCAGTCTCGACAGCCACCACCGAAATGGCCAGCGTATCACCCCCGGGAAGTGATACGGGTGAACGTGAGGAAAGGACCAACTGGTACCTAGACCTCCCCATCCACACCTACTGCTTGCAAGGTAGCAGTTTTTATACAGTTTATTTGGCCTGAGGCAGAAAGTCTTTGTTTTCTTCTGAGTTCTTCATATTCAAGGTGGTTTCTTTCTCTGGACAAAGCCTCGTCCGGGGGTAGAATGGTCCATTTCCCTGGTTCCCGGAATCTGGCATTTAGATTCCATGTGTTGATGGTTCTGATCCCCACAGATAGGCATCTTGTCTGGGCCATCAGCACCTGGTGTTTTTGGGCGTAGGTAGGTGCTGATGAATGCTCGTCCCTGGTGCAGCTGGAGCTCCTTTTGGATGCAAATACTGAGATGTCCATTTGCTGCAGCTTTGTGATCTCGTCATTCTGTTGGATTTCTCAACCTAAAGGGAATGAAGGGATTTCCCCCCCCCTTTTTTCTCACCCCAGTTCACATATATATTTTTATACACTATTTATCTCCACGAATTACTACTTATATTCCTAACAGGTAACACTTCCTCAATTAAGGCAGTCCTCTTTATATAGTAATTAAATTCTTACAGTGAACCATGTAACAACATATATGTGTGCTGTGGGTTTTTGGTTATTATTGTACAGAAATTTAGAATGGATGTCCATCAGGCTGACACCCTGGGGACAATTTGTCTCCCTGGAACAGGTGTATTAGAGACAAATTTTTAGCATGAAAAGAGGTTCAGAGCTGAAGATCCAGCATTGTTTCCAAGCTCTGGTTCCTCCGGCCCAATGTGCCACTGCACACTCTTGGCAGCTGAGGCAGACAATTAATTTTTAATGGATAATATATTGGACTATGTTCTAAAACAGTTGGTACTTTCTGGATTACTCAATTCTCCAGGATGTCCTTGACTAATGAGGAATGTCAGCCACTTTCACTCTGAAAATAAGTCCTTCTTAAACCGTTGAAAAGCACTAATTGCTTCATCAACTTAAGCTCTTTTTGACTTATAAAAGCTTCTAAGAAAAGGCAAGAAAAGCAAATCTTCATGCTGTTAGTCATACAGTATTTCCTCAAAGACGTAAGTTTTCCTTAATTTGGTATTTTGGTATATGGCATGGGATCACAAGCATATTAGTTATTAATGGAGGCAGATATAGTGAATATTATATTGGTCTCTCTATCTTACATTTACATTAGCTTTCATAGAATTTTGCTTTACTAACAACCATTCTGCAAGTCCATTTCTTTGATAAAGGGTTGTGTTTTAAACATGACTAATTAAACACCATCTGTCTGTTACAGGTGATCTGTGCAAAATGCTCTGAGTTTAAGCCACTTGCAGATAATAACCGCCATAATCGAGTGTGTAAAGAGTGTTTCCTGCAGCTCCCAGCAAGCCCCTGCAGCCCTGGAGTGGAAGCAGTTGGGGAACAGAAGAAAAGACTAGCTGCAGAGGTATAGTCTTTGGCTAAGACACTTTGTGAGACTCTCTCTTTTTTTAGTGTATTTATTAAAAGCTAATCAAATTCGTTTTCCTTTCTGCCCCACCATGGGATTTAATCCTCTGACCTATAAATCTCATTGAACACATCTGCAGCCTGGATGCTGTTTGTAGATGGTGAGCATTCATCATAGGATGCTGATCACACAGAGATGCATACAGGTTTGGCAGCTAAGCTTCAGTTTACAAACTTACAAAAAAGAAGGAAAACACTCTGACTTCTTTTTATTATGGTGTATTTCCAATTTTGAGCTGTGCACAGTAACTATTCAAAAGATAAGATTTGTTTTTTCACTTTTAATTCCATGTAGCAACTCTGTTGCTTGGGGGCTTTGTCAGCTTTGTACCTAAACACGTCCAAGATCTCAGCAATAAGGTGGGGTAAAACCACAGGTCCCCCTTGGCCTGAGCTGCCAGGTCTGCAGAGCACAGAAAAAGTTCTGGATCCGGAACCTGATCCTATCAAAACCTTCAGATATGGTATCAGATATTGCTCCCTGTGGCAGGGGGTTGGAATGAGATGGTTTTTACAGTCCCTTCTGACCCCAACCATGTTATTCTGTGATGCATGCTCCAGCTGTGACTACAGATAATGAGCTCTTTATAGGTGCCAATACAGCCTGTGATAGCTCATGACAAACTTTGCAGCACTGTTTCAGTAGGGAAAGTTGCAGGTCCAAACCTGCACCTACACAGGGAAGAGAGGGCCCTGTTAATCTGAAAAGCCAAGAGCCAAACCAGTGAAATGGAACCCATGGCTTTACTTCAGAAAGCAGATTACAACAAAAAGCTGTAAAAACTCAAGGAAACATGTCATTTTCCCCTCCTCTACTCAGGCTGCTAGTTTTTTTGTTAAGTCTTCAAAGGATGGAATACAATGCAAGAAAACCAGTGTATAGAAATAAAAAAATCAGAGTCAGGCTTTTTCTTTCCCTTCTATTTACATTAAACTTTCTTAACAAGCTTAGTAGCAGCTGAAGAGCTTACCACTTAACAAATGTTATTAGCAGCTGCCAGAAATCTTCAGAAGGCTTCTGTGCAAATCCTAATGCAAACAGGAATTTTGATTTTCTTTCCTTTTTATCAGAGCACAACAATTTCTTCCTTTTTTTTTTTTTTTGCACTCTGATTTGGCTCCACCATGCACAAGAGGTTCTGTTAATAAACCTTTTGCATTAATTTGAAGTCATCTCCCTGCCTACTTTGCTAAGCAAGAAATGAGGTGCATCATCTTAATTACCATTTTCAATTTACTGGGCGGAAGTTGAATTTAGCTTCATGTCCGCTGGGAATGGTGGTTCTGCCTCTGTTACATAGAATTATGCTATTTCTTAATTGTATATAGTAATTATTAATTTCTTATTTGGTTATGGCCTACCCCGCATTTGCACTCAAGTGTTATTTGACTCTGCACCATTTGAGTATTTTATATTTAATTCTAAGTATTTTGCACACTTCAACATAAGTAGAAATAGCTCTGTTTTATTTTTTCCCCCCTTCATCCAGAAGCAAAGCATCCTTGTGGCTGAAAACAGCCTCTTCAGCAGCTACCTCCAGTTCCTTGAAAAAGGGAAGACTTGGTACAAAATGTGGGTGACCATCCCCAAGAGTGAACCTCTTGTTCTGTATCTGCAAGGAAGCAGCCAGGTAAGATGGCATTCATGAGGGCTAACACACAGAAAAAGAAAAGCGTAAGTTTAAACATGTTGAGCTGAGAAATGGGTCAAAGAATTTGGCTTGGTTTCAACAACAGAACTGAATTTCCTATTCTGGATATGGCACAAAGCCTCAGAGATTTTAGGTTACCCTGTTACCTGTACTTACTGCTGATACAGTTGTGAGCACATGTCAAATCTTGTTGCTTTTCCATTCAAATTTTTAGCAAAAAAAAAAGAGGACAAAACAAGGATAATTAGGTTATTCTTTAGCTTTTTTAAGGTTTCAGGCAGGTGTACTCAAGGGTTTTATTACGTTGTCGTTAGGAAAAGCACTTTCCTGTTAAACATATAGAGCTGCAAAGGAGGCTGGATGTTGTGATTTCTGGAGCTGCTGGTTCAAGCTTCTTTTTTTTTTAAGTCTAGCTCTGGTTTGATGAGATAGAGGAATTTGTGAAAATTTTTCAGCCTGAAAAATTACAAAGTTCCTTGTCATAGCATCATGGGGTTTTATTATTAATTGAAATACTTACATTTATAAGAGGTTTTTTCATCTCTAAATGTACTATTGAAGCTAACTAGCACTTGTGTGTGATGAAAATCAAGGGATAGAAACACCTATATCCAAACTAGAAATGTCTGTCATGCTTCCTTAGCATTGAAGAACGACAATGCTGAAAGGAGATTCCCCTTATCCAGTTTTGCATGTGGCATTTGACACATTTATACACAGCTTTTTTTATCTCCTGTGTGGGATGGAAGTAGTAATGGAACTGAATTCAGCCAGCAATTACCCTGCTGTAGTTGTTGTGATAAACATATTTTCTTTTTATTAGCACCTGTTTGTGGCTAGGAAGAGTCGAGGAAATAAATTTTCCCTGTGGTTTTATAAAGGAATTCAGAGTAAAGCTCACCCTGTATCTGACAAATACTACACCTTGTCATTAGTACTGTGTTCATTTTGCAGCTTGTCAGGAGGAGCACCTCTGGCTTTGAGTAAATTTGTGTAATATTTTAAACATAGTGCTCAGAGGCTGAAAGCTTGAATTTGGAGCTTCAGCCCCCTTGGCTTCATCTGTGGTTCCAACCCCACAATGGGTAAGCCTCCAATTTGTCTTGCAGACAGTGAGATGCCTGGTTTCCCTCCTAGTCAGTGGGACATGCGTGGCTGAAATTAAACATTGGAAAAGCAAACAGCCTCAGACAAGGCACTAAAACAAAGGCAGCAAATCCACTCTTTGGCTCTCTCTGGAGCCAGGGTCTGGAGAAAGAAACAATGCTTTAAAAAGCCACACAGAGAGAACAGCTTCACCTGCAGAAATTTTGAACTGATGCTTAAGCTGTGCCTCAGCCAAGGGCCAGTGCAAGCCCTGCATCCACACAAAGCAAGCCAGCTTGTCTCATATTTGGGCAAGGAGAGTGGAAATAGAAGGAGAGAAGTTTAAATTCTTTGGCCTTCCTCACACAGAAACAAGGTGTATCATCTAAGAGGTGGCAGGGGTGAGAAGTTGAGAGGACTCAACACCCCTTATACGGTATGATTGAGAATTTTTCCTACTGCCCAACTATTTGTTGCAGTGCAGCACAAATAATAATCCATAGACATAAATCACCTGCATTCAGTGCACACTCAGTGATGCTTGATTCTGCAGGTCCCACCTGACAGTCATGCAAAGCCACAGATGGAAGCTGAGGAACTTCTCTGCTTCAGTTGCTGTGTACTTTGTCCATGTCCTGCCAAATTTGATCTTGAGCCTCTGCTGATATTAGTAAGATCCTATTTTTTTTTAAGGGAAAAGTATGCCTTTGGCACTGATTGTCAATTTTATGACAGTTAAATTTATAGGTTAGTGTTCTCAACTATTTTAGCGGTGAGAGAATTCTCCCAATAAAGTATCAAGAAAGCAAAAGAACAAGGTTATTTATCTTACATTCCAAAACCAGCATTTACTGTCAGGAATGAGACTATAAACAAAAAAAGTTGATCCTTTCTTCAAGGGCCTGCCATTCCCATTTGTATACTTCAATTTGCATCCAACTGCAAGAAAAAATTAGGAAATCCAATTTCTTGATATTAATCCAACATTCTTGTTAATTCTGGTTTACATAGGATATATTAAACTTCTGAGGAAAATGTCTTCCAGAGCTTCATTATTGGTGGCTGAATGTCTGGAATCAGTTGGGAGCCACTCATACGCTTAAATATTCTTTTCCCAGGCATAGTTCTGTTTTGCATAACCAGCTCCATGGATCTCACAGACCTCTTTAGACCTGCAAAGAAGCATTTCAGTGCCTGAGATGTGTATTTTGGAATAATATTGCCAGCAACAGAATTAAAGGTCTTGAAACATAGAGTAAAGCATGATTGTAGAAGTTTTGAAAGTCGGGGGATTATTGTTAAGAAGAACAAAAATAATAGCTGCCTCTTGGGAAGAAGGAGCAAACCAAGCAGAATCTGGAGCTTTGAATGCAGTGAAAGCTTCTTCCTCTGCACCCCTGGCCCTCACACCAAAGAAGTGCAGGTAGAAACATGACTCACATATTTAAAATAGCACGAAAACTGCTCTTTTTGCTCTTTTGTTCCAGGAGAATGAATTAATCCCCTGAGTATTCACAGTTCAAATCTTGCATAAGACTTTATGCATGAGAATTCCCAGCTTATTTAGGTTTGGGAATCATACCAATTTGATTTGTCCTCAAATGTAGTCACAATTTGTACAACTGTTTGTTGTGCTTATCTCAGTAAAATTATAAGAGTTTCCTTATAAGCAAAGACCACTTCAAGTGTAAGGAGAAGCAGTTTTAAGATAAATTAGTCTTCTCAAGGGCTCCACCTGGACCTTTTGCCCCCACTGGCCTTGTAAAATGCACTGCTGCTTGCAAAGCTCTGACATGAACTTACCTGAGTAAGACATGCAAAGGCTTCCAGAGTAGCTGGAAAAGTAATCAATTTAGGAGAAATATGAAGGGTAAAACTAGTATGGCTAGGGCTAGTCTATTTATGTATATATCAGATCAAGCTTGATCCAAGAGAAAATTTTGCTTTATAAAGAAGAGAAATTTTCCATTCATCATGTAAATGTGATTTACTTTTAGAAAATAAGGGAGTAGCTGAGTTTGAAATTGAACTCAGGGCTTTTGAGAAGTATTTTTTTTGCTTGCCTGTTGATCCTGTTTAGTAGAAGTTTTACCTGGCCCTGCACTAAACTCTGCTTGCCCTTTTTTGATCCTGAAGATTACAGGAGTCTCTCAATGACTTGTGTAAGGTTGGGGTTAGATCATGAGTGGATAAAGAGTGGAGTTTGGGTAGAAAAAATCATGGATTTTCTAAGCCCACTCAGAAGTAGAAGGGGGAAAATGCCATTGGTGGGTCATTGTTGTCCAAAAGGGCTTATACACTGCAAAGAGCTGTGCGGTGCCAGAGGCATGTCTATATGCAGGGGTGCCTGAAACAGAACTGCCTGTGTGGTGGCACTGAGTAGTCTGTTCCCAAATCTTATACCCTGGGTGTTGCAATGGCTGTAACAAAGTAATAAATACATGCTGCTCTAATGACCTAAATAAATAACCCATTTGTGTTGTGCTGCTGAGAGTCAGGATGAGTGCACTGTCCTTTTGATTGCTGACATTATTACACATCCATAAATTTTTATCTATCCCTCACTCACTATCTGAGGAAAATAATTGTAATCAGCCCTAAAGTGAAGCTCTTTCAGCACTGGGTATTTTGGTTTGATGAAATACCAGTATCATGCAGTCATACTATGTTGCATGCAGAAATATTTTTTTTTAAAAATACGGTTCAACCAGCCAAATCCTGTAGGCTCTTAAAACGAAAACATGAATTTCATCTCTCTTATAAGGCCTGTAAATCCTACTTACATGCTCAGTATAAGGCTGTAATTCCTCATGGGTGCGTAATAGCTGCTGGATTTACTGGGCTTTAGGTAGGAGGAAAGGGCTCAGCGGCAAAGGACATCCACAGATGCTGCTGGTCCCAAAGAGAAGACTGGGTTGGGGGTGGGGTATTCCTCAAGGCCAAATGCTTCACCTTTACCTCTCAGTAGTACAGCTTTTCAGAGATAATGTAAATCCCTTCCTTTTGGATCAGGCAGGTACAGGCAAAGTGTCAAGGGCAGCATATTAAGGGAAGATGCAAGACCAAAGGCAGACTGCTTAATTTGCCTGTGTCTGCACATGTTGGGTAGGTGTAACACATACAATTCAAACATCAATTTGCTCTTACAGTGCACTTTGTGGCTACAAATAATATCATTTGTCATTGTCATGGGCAACCTACAATTTTCCATTTGACAAGTCTAAATGTCTACTCTTCCAAACCAAGACCAGTGAAACAGGCATGGTTGAGCATGCATGTGCTCTTGTGCATTTGTGTTCATCAGTTTCATGTTTGCTTGCTTGAGCAGTGCCACGTGTACAGGAGCTGCTTTGTACATGCCAGTTCTTCTGCATGGGCAAGACCTTCCTGTTTTTAGGGATGTGGCTGTGGTTTCAGGGAATAGAAACTGTGCTGAATTTAGGACAACTAGTTACACAAATGGGAACTGAGTGTAACTTTAGTGTTTGGCCTAAAGCTGGCTTAAATCTCCTTGAACAGTGCTTGGTCTTTAAGCAGTTAGACTCCGGCATTTTTGCATGACAATAATAAGCAACAGGTGAATAAATCAAGCCTGTATTGATAAATGGTGATACATATAGTCTGCATTAATGTGAGCAGTTTGGTTACTGGAATTACTTTAGACAAAGTGTGAGAAAAGTAGGCATATTTTTTGGCCATTGTTGTCAGAGTTTTGGTCCTCTTCCCGATTTACCAAGGCATCTGCATTTGGTATGGGCTGACAAAAGAATGACTTTGCCACTTCTCTGTGGGATGCTTAGTTGGCTTTGATGTGGGGCTGCAATGCAAGCAGCTGCTACAGAAGGTGACAGCTTTGTACAGGTGCTTGATGCCTGTGTGATTCAAACTTCAGTTTGGGGACTCATCTTTAGAAACACTTTCCTGGGAGCAGTTGAAGAGGTTGCTTGGCCATGGCACACCTTGCCTTGCTAAAATATGTCTTTCTTGAGAGCTTAGGAGAGGAGTTGGTTGATGCTCAAGATGTGACTGTTAGAGAGCTGTATTGCTCCTTAGATCTGTGAGTCAATCTGGCTTTGAAAAGATGGTCAAGAATTTGAGCACTGGCTCTCTTGACATCTCTCAAAGGCATCATAAATTACTGAAAATCAAAAATTGTCTTTTCTTTCAAAGACTTTTCCTTTGCCCTTTAGTTGCCTTGGTATCTCTCAGGGTCCAGCTTTGCTTAATTGCTTCCTTTTAACCAATCCTACAAAATGTCCCATGATGTTCAAAAGGGACAACATCAAACTCTTCTAAGCTGGCTCCCATTGCCTGTATATAATGCAGAGGAAATTTTGTAAAAGACACACGCATAAGTTACATGACATTATATGAAAATCCCCGGCCATACTTACTGTGAAAGGAAATCAGTGAAATAAGAACAAAGCACCACTAAGCCATTGCTTTTTTGCTGGTTTGCAGTCAGTACTGCCTTGTCCCTGCTTCCTTCGCTGCAGCGCTGAACAAGGAGCCTGGGACTGCGTCCGTGTGCTGCCTGCAGTGTGTGCCTGCCGGCTGCGTGCAGTGTACCCCGCCTCCCGCCTCAAACTGCATTTGGTCCTGAATCCTTACATTTGTTTTCTCTCCTTTAGGATGGACGAAGCCCACGTCCAATCCCTCTGCCTGGCTATGAAGTCAGTTTACCAGGTTCTGGTGAGAAGTTTGATGTGAAGCACGTTTTTAAGCTTTGCCAGTCCCATCAAACTCTCTATTTCAGTGCAGAAGATGAAGAGCTGCAGATTAAATGGATGGAAATTCTCACCAAAGCTGCCAAAGGGGAGACTGAGGATACAGCTGAAGGGCTCAGCAACCCATAGAGCAAGATTAATTTCGTTTCTTTCCTACGTGCTATAAACCATCACTTGAATTTGGTATTCCTGGCACTTTGGAATCTATATGGCTTTATATTTTCATGTGTTTGCATAGGAAGTTCAGTGGTTTCTCACCTTTTATTGTACATTTTTCAAGTACAGTAGTTACCTGCCATATATTATGTTAAAGAAAAAAGTAGTTATAGTCGTTGGTGGTGTCAGTGCTGGTTTTAAAACAAAAGACAAGGAGCAAAGCATTAATTTTAACAAAGGTAATGGAAAATCATGTCTTGTTTTCCTAAATGTATATTTTCCAGTCCTTTTGATTGCTGTTGAGTGCAGGATGTGTATAGTCTGTGATTAGTTCTATAAATGCTGCCTTTTAAGTTAAATGTTGTAAAGGCTTGTGCTGGCCACTGACATTCCATTCTCTGCCTTGCCCTCCTGGTAAGGTCTTTGTGATATGTGAGCAATGTACTGAGTATTTTCCTGTTACTAAAATCATGTCTCTGCTGTTTTGAGATGAGCTGTTCAAATGACAAATACTGTAGAAGGGACTTTTAAAAATTACTGCAAATGGTGCAGAACAGAACATTAAGAAGTCTCATTGATTTAAGCATTTATTATACTGATTGCTTTCTTCTGGAAACAATACCTTCCTTTGTTCTATTGGAACCCATTTTGATGTAAGTGAACAAACATTTTATACTGCAAACTGGGTTATGATCAATAAACAAGAACATTTTTAGTACGTACCATACAAAAAGGTGACTTTTTTGTTGTATTGGTTAATTTAAGTGGCTGAAATTTTATTTATATACTTTGTAAATAATGTTTCATAAGTATTTTAAGAATTTTGAAAATATCTCAGCTAATTAACAGGATTTAGTACATAGTGTAAGAGATATTTGTATGAACTGAATTTGTAATTTAATTTCCCTGTTCACCTGTTTTTGTCTTATTTTCAAACATAAGTGCTTATCTATTTAAATAAAAATTCCAGCAGTTAACTCCTGAGCCAGATTTCCAAGGCACAGCAAAGTTTAGGTCAACATTTAATATAGGTTAAAAAAAATTATAAAAGTCTAAAACAAGTCTAAAAAAGGCATGTCTGTTCCTAGTCGTAGTAAGCATGTAGTATCAAAATGAAATAAAATCTGTCACAGTACTGTATTCTTAAATGGTTTGGTTTAACTTTTGTTTCCTCTTCAACCTTCCACATTTTCTGATATTGATAGATAGGAAGAAATGCTCCATACAGTCAGAGTTTTTTAGGATTGGTGAAAATTAGTGATCTGCATCAGTGAGTATTTTTTTGGACCTACAGAAACGGAATTATACTTGTTTGGGATTTGGCTTATTTTTTACACTGGTGAATAAATCACATATCTGACGTCTGTGATGATAAAAAATTAGAGGCCATGTGTTTGGTTATCTACTGGGAAATTGTCTTGAGACTTGCATCTTTCTTTCCTACTGACCCTACACAGAAAAGATTGTTTTTACCATGAAAAGGAATTCTTTCCAGTGTGTGTTATTTCTTCTCCCAAGCTTCCTTGAAAAGGTAATGATGTAGAGTGCTTGCCTTGAAAATTTACTCATTTAGTAACATTTCTGGTTTGGAGGTGGGGGTTTTGTTTGTTTGTTTACAATGTGTTAACATTCTCTCATTCTATTATTTTAAGCAAATCAAGGGAATTGTGCTTAGTGAACACATTAACAAACCAACATGCTGTAATGCAAGAGCAAAGTGCCCTCAGAGAACAGCCCCAGGCTACAGAATGCTGTTGTGGGAGAGTCTTTCTTGGTTGGCATTGATTGACCAGCACAAGGTCCCAAAATACAGTGCTGCTGTGAAATCACAATCAAATGCTCTGAGAAGTCACTACACATCTCTGAAGGCTTGTCCTGAATTTATAGCAGGATCCAATCTCATCCAGATCAAAGGCTGGAGGGTTAGGACCTTTGTTTCATTCGCCTTCCTCATCTTCTCTCCTTTGGAAGGAAGTAGGAACTCCTAAAGCTGAAGAAATAGGTGTTGCTGACACTATTTCTCATAAAAGCTGCAAGCCTTAGACTTTTCTTTGTCATAAAAGGAAAGTTTTTCTGAGCTCAGCCTGCTTCTGTGCAGAGAGATTAAGCATCCCATAAATACTACATACGCCTTTGTATTAGTGCATAAATAAGATTTAAGCCACTAATAGCCCCTTTCTAGCTCTACATAGCGCTGAACTATATATGCTGGCCATGATAAGACCAGAGGAAAAAATTTTGATGTGGCAGCAGCAGTTAAGTTCAACCAGGGGACTGAATTTTGATGAAGTGGGGATGAAAAGTACAATACCCATAGCTACAGTGTCCTGACATCAGCACATTTCACAAAAGATGCCCAAATATCATGATAAGCCAAGAACCTTCCCTGTGCATAAGGGATGTGGCCTGTGGAGCTGCACCAACAAATCTTCTCCACTTTGCTGCTTGCAGCCATGAAGTAAAACCCACCAGGTCTTTCTGACTCTGCCTGTCAGGTCAAGGCACCAGACCCTACCTGCCTCACAGACATAACATTCCTTCTCTGAGCATGGCTGGGGCAGAATTAAACCAAGCTCTGGTGCTCTGGGCTCTCAGGCACTGCAGGATGCCAAAGTTCTGCTGTGTTTGGGAGCTAAACCTCACAAATCTTGTGAGAGCTTGTTTGGTTCTTCCTGTCAACAGCCAGATAAACCTTTCCTTTGCTTCTCCAGGAGCTGTTGTCATTCTCCAAGGTGCCCATCGTCTCTTGCCTGAATTAAACCGATGTCTGCCACCATTTTTTTCTGTATTTTTTTTCTGTAAATTGACAATCACAGATTAAGGATTTGAGCAACCCTGGATTTGCTTTAGAAAAATTTCATTAACAAATCAATTAGCTGTATTTAATTTCATTCCCACAAATTCTTCATTCTGAGAGTTTATTTATTAATTTTCTTATTAAAATGTGGTGTTATGCCTTCAGAAAGAAGAGCTGGCAAAGGCAAAAATACAAAGAACTGGCAAGGGAAGAAGGCAGTGACAGAGCAGACAGACAGGGCCAGTCTCCAATTGTTTATTTCC